TACTCTACAAACCAAGAAACTCATCTATCATTAAGTCTGGCTAGGTAGGGTGACCAACCATTTCAGTTTGCATGGGTTTCCTGGGACCAGGAAAGTCCTCAGCAAACCAGTATAAGTTGGTCTCCCTAGTCTGAAAAACCCCAGAAGATTTGATTTATTTCATACTGAATCTCCATCTTAAAGAAAGCCAAAATATGCAATACATCATGAGGTTAGACAGCTCTCTGATGACTTACATCATGGCTTCACAGTTGTGGTTTGTCCTTTCCTAGGGAATGCGTCAGACATCATACAGACCTGCATAGAAATACAGCTGTAAACCTTTCACACAAATTTAAAGTCAGATTCACCAAGCAAAGTATTGGTGTCTTCTATTCAGAAATTTCTTGGCAATGTAAATCAAAAGCTGGCAATAACTTTCATTTTTTTAACATCATACTATACATGAAATACTACGTTAGTCCTTAAAACATAAAATTGAGATACATTCTCCATTCTCAATGAGCTCAGAGTGGATTATAGGAGACAGATACATAAATAAATAACTATATTATTTTGTGACAAGTGTTAAGGAAAGATTATGGCAGTTTGAGGACCAGTCTTTGATAATCTTTTTTGGTGTTTTTATTGCAAAAGTATTGTGCAAAGACAGAATAAAAGGAAGGGATGAATCATTTTGGAATATTGATAATTTTGAATCTTATTTTAAAGTCTTGTTTGAGGGATGTCCCAAACTTTGTACTTTATAAAAATAGGATAATAATAATAATATTCTCAAGAAGTTAAGAATTAAATTTTATAATATTTTATGCTTCCTAGATGAAAAGTGCTACAGAAGTTGGGATATTCTTTTTATATGGTAATTGTTAACCTCAGAAGCTTTCTCAGCACCACTAGATTAGAGAACTCTTTCCCCTGTACCCAGCTGTCATTTGTGAGATAGCAATATGTGCTTTGTGTTAAAATGTAAATGCTAAAATTCCCTTGGGATTGAATATGTAATAACACATTGAAATCTTGAGAAGTAGTTATCGTGATTTCTTTGTTCAGTGGAAACAAAAAATCCAAAAATTAAATTTTGGTATTCTAGACACATGATAGTATATAAAAAAGCTAATAACTGATCTCTAAGATTTTTTTTCTTTTTAATCCTTAGGAATATTTTATCTTCCATTGTTGCTTGAATTTGTTAAGAAATCACATGTGAAATTAAATTTAAGTGGGAAAATATTTTGTTACTGGAAGGCCTTTATTTAAAGAAGTTATTTCACTTTCTTTACAGCACTTTTAACTTTCTTTTGAATTACTAAACAAGTACATGTTTTTGTTTAAAAACAATCAAATACCAAAGCAAAAATGCAAAACCAGGACTTAAAAAGCCTTTACTCATTTCCTTATATTGTGCTACATGGACCTATGGTAAAGTAGCACCCACAGTTTTATAACAGAGTTGTCAGTTGTCACTATTGTAGCTAGGCATGTAGGATAACTTAAAGCTGCCTTAAATGCTTTATACTCCCCTGCGGATCTGTATCAGAAAAAGCAAAGATGTATATATGGCTTTTTTTTTTTTTAAAGGCCTGGTTTTAAGAAGAAAACTGAATTTGGGGGTTTCTTTAAGTAAGGATTCTTTCTTGTAAATGTTTTACAATATGAAAATATTAGTAATATCGATAGTATTTTTCTTACTGCAAAATATTATTTAGATAGATTTTTAGAAAGACTTTTTGTATTTACAATTATTCCATATTTTATCATGTACATGTTTGACTTTTAAAACATTCTCTTTAAGAATAAATTTGGGGAGTATAATGTCTTAAATGTTGGATTCTTATGTTTACTAGTTTACTAGTTTACAACCACCACAAAAATATCAAATAGCATGTGTATTTTACTAATGGGTCCGCTTTATATTTTTTCAAAACTGAAATTACACTCCGTTAATTATCCTAGCATTTAGAAAATTACTTTTATCATCACTTTGCCACTTGACAATTGGGATGTAAAGCTGCCACTATATGGTAGCTATTCACTACATGTAGTCTAGGCCACATAATGTTAATTGCTTTGTATTAGAAGATAGCATTTGGTGTATAATGTTTAGTTGTAAATATTTTTCTGGAGGAAATATTTCTGGGCTCTTAGTAGTATAAGCTTGTTTAAATCATCCTTTGTTCTCAAACTGTTTGGTTTGTTGGCTTTTTGCTTCCTACCATTTCCTCAAATTTATTGCATGCATTTTACAGATTTTTATGTGCATTCTAGTGATTCTACTTAGTTTGCATAATTAGCATTCACATTAGAATGACTACTTGAAAATCTCATTCATCTTGTTCTATACTCACTCACCCTGGGAATTCATCCCCTCCCATAGCTCAGCTACCTCTGCTTGGATGCTGCTACCAATTTTGCTAACTGCCACTGTCATGTCATTAACTCTCTCCTAGATTAGTCCTGCACTCTTCTCTTCATGTCTGCCTGTCATTGGGTTTGCCCTCCCCCTCCAATGCATTATCTATAGAGTAACTAGAGTGTTCTTTCTAAAACTTGAGTCTTAAGTAATTTTCTGCTTTAAGTCTTTCAGGGATTTCCCATTGTTCTTATAATCTCTCCTAACCTCATGCTGTACTTAAGCACTGAAATTTTTTTAGTTCCTCAATTGTACCATGTCCACTGGGTATTAATATGTGCTTCCACACTACCTGGAATAAAGAAAGTTCCTCATCCTTTTGCCTCAGTGATTTGTTTATGCTCGTCTCCTTTTGGAAGCAATTCTGAGAATCTTCCCTGACCCACTCCTTTCTACTTGCCTCTGGAGTGGTTTAGCTCCTCTAGCCTCTCATGCCATCCTGAACTTCCCTTTGTAGTCATCACATTTATTCGTATTTGTCTGCTTTCTCTAGTTGACACCTCAGAAATAGAAAATTTCCCCCTCATCCATTGTCCTCCCACATAAAAAATTATTTTATATGTATTTCATTTAGAGACTTTCTGTTTTTAAGGAATAAGAAAACTCCTAAAGGCATAGTATGGAACCTTTCTTTTGCCCATGCTATCCCTAGCACTTAACATGGTGCCAGATACATGACAGATGCTGACATTGTCATGAGTACCAGTGATGATCAATTTGTGCCCAGCTTCTACCTCTCCTGAATTCTAGACCCATTACCACTAGGGGGTATCAGGCACTTCAAATTCAATACATCCAGACCTCAGATTCTTTCCCTCCCATCTCCTCTCTTCTCTCTTCCTGACTCTCCTATTCCCTTCCTTTCTCTCATCTGCCACTGACATTTCCAAAATGGAACTTTTGTACCCCTTGCTATCTATATCAGTCAGTTATCAGAGTCAATTAATTCTGCTGCCTAATAATTTTTGACACTCACCCCTCAACTCCATTTATTCACAGTTGCTTTATTCCAGGCCTCCTTCTACCTTATCAGTTACAGAACCTTCTAAGTTATTTGTCATTTGAATTTTAGCACTTTAAAACCTAAATATATTAACATTTTAAAGCATTATAAATAATTTTTAATCTCAAAATGATTTTTAAAAATTTAGAAACTAGATATTTTAATGTTTTATCCTTCTAAAGAAACACTGTGTATATGTATTTATTTAGTCAGTTCATTTTCAAGAATAAAAAATAAAAGCTATTAATTGAATCAACTAAATAGAAATTTTTTAATTTTATTTCTGTTTTACACATGAAGAAGCTGAGATACATAGGTAATATGACTTTCACAGTTTCATAAGATCCAGGAGTATAACCATGTTTCCTGACTTCCTATTCAGGATTCTTAAAATCTGGATGGTCTCTTCATTATTAGCTGTAGATTGCTCAGAAATATTTCTTAAACTTTAGAGGCTGACAGAAAATATAAAATGTGTAGAGTACTATGAACACAGTAATAGATAATACAGTATTTTGTAATCCTTTTGTATCTTGACATTTAGAGTATACGTAAAGAAAATAAATACTTTTATGAAAATACATAAAAGTATATTAGCCCCTGTTTGAAAAGATGTTGCAGTATTTAAACTTTTAAGTAAATTAGCAAGTAGAAAAATCACTATGGTTGTAGAGAACCTTTTAATTAAAATCATGTTATTTCTAATTTTTTAAAAAGATAGTTTTGATTTTTAAAAATTATTAAGCTTTAATAGAGAATCTTTTACTAATTTGGTTCAAATTACAATGTGGCAGAAATTAGTTAGGAAGAAACGGTATTTTCCTTTTGTATTTATACTGCATGTGTAGTGTATGAAATAGAAGGTGTAAATACTACGTTGGCGTATTTCATTGCATGTAGCAAGTTAGTTTTGACCCATTGCTAGCAACTTCTTGGAATGAATATTGTCCATTGTCCTTTTTATTTCTACTAAAGTTTCTTCAAATAGTTCTTTAGGGAGATTTTTCAATCTTTCCTATTAAAGAAAAATTTTGAGAGCTACATCTTTAAGTTAGTCTTTTTGATAGAACTGTAATTGAAAAGTTACAACTTGAAAGGTGGACAAGATTTAAATAGGACAAAGAAGCGTGTTTTCGGTTATAAGAAATGTAAGCCCTGACATGTCTTTGGTTCTTGCTAGAAAGAAGAAAGAAATAATACGGGGAGGTTATGGTAGGGCTTGATTACTGAAGAAGGCCTTTGTAAGCATGCATATAAGCATAGCCAATGGACACAGTCATGAGGGGGCTGCGGGCATGTGCTGGTGGGGGCGAAGGGGGTGGTGTCAGGGAGGGGGAAGGTCAATAGGGGGAAAAGGAGACATATGTAATACTATATGTAATACTTTAAACAATAAAAAAAAGTAGGAGAACAAGGGCCATGGCACTGAAGTTAGAATTTACTCCTGAAGTGAGTGAATTGTCTCTTACTCAATTAGGAAATAGGAAATTTTGGCACTTTAACTCAGTATGTTTTGTGTATGTTAATATTCATTGTGTTAAAGCTAAACAAATGCAGGAGTGGATGTGTTTTTCTTCTGTTTTCTAGTCTACGCCTTTACATCTTGCCGCGGGCTACAACAGAGTTCGGATAGTTCAGCTGCTGCTTCAGCATGGTGCTGATGTTCATGCAAAAGACAAAGGGTAGGTGGAGCAGTTTATTTCCTTTAATGGTTTTGCTCATGAATTGTTATGCTTTGTTTTCAACATCTTACATGCTGAAGTTGTTGAACACTAGGCAAAGTAAGTCATATAGACCATTTCTTTACAGCTTGTGTAGCATTTTAAGAATGTTTGCAACTTTGATTTTATATTATTTTCACATACTACTTCTTATAATAATTTCCTAAATTAGTTTAATTTTATTGAAATTCTACTACTTAAAATTTGTTTCAATTGTAATTATTATTTAACTCAAGTTGCATTTCAGAAAGACAAGACAAATTGAAAATTATGATAATCTATTAATATAGCTAGGTATCATTCATCTGGAATGAAAAGATTATCTCTTACTAATAAACCAAAATCATAAGTAACAGTATTCTAATCTGTTTTTTCCTGATGAAATCTTGGGCATCTGAACTTAGAAAACCTAAAAGATCCTTATGAAGGTTGATGTGGTGGGGATTGAACAGTTGGGGCAGAGGGAACAAGAAAGCAGTTATGTTATTTACTTTATGAGTAAGTGTATTTTGGAAAACTTTGTTCAAGTTTCCTATCTAGTCTCCAGGGACATATGAATCAAGTTTGCTGTCCTGTGTGGGGGGCAAACATTTCTCATTATCCCACCTTAAGATCTAAAAGATAATTTGACTTTACAGTACTATCTAGGTTAGGGGTGTCGAACTCAATCAGAGAAGGGGCCAAAATCTAAAATCCAGCCTAAATCGCGGGCCGAATGGTTTACTGAACAGTCATAAACTGTCATTGTTATGGAAACGCAGCGGAGTGCAGTGATGACAGCGCTGTGCGGGCCACATTGCAAGGCCTGGCGGGACGGATTTGGCCCGCGGCCCTTGTGTTTGACACATGTGCTAGGTCAATAGATTCATATTACACTCTTGTGATTGGCAGCATAAAGAAGAGAAGCCCTGGAGGAGGTTTCTTTCAGTTTGCCCCTTTCCATGTCAGGAAACAGAAATGAAGAAAGAACTCGGTACTTGAGACAGTTACCCGAGGGGAAATCCATTCATTCCAAATCTGCTCTTTTCAGTACTGTGTTCTCTTGCCTGCGCCAGGTTTTGTGCCATATGTGAATGGTGTCCCGATAGTGTAGGGCTACAAATGCCTGATGTTCTTGTACATCTCTGTTTCCTTGTGCATGTCTAAAAACAGATGGGTGTACAATGAGTCATCAAGAGAAGCACAGAACAAAAAGGGGTCTTTGACTCATGTAGAAAGATACTTTGAAATGAAAGTTATAGTAGTTTGGATATTAACTCTTGTGCTGATACTTACTTTGAAAATGAAACAAAAGAGTAGGAATATTCAATTCTCTATCAACATTTATTTAATATAAACACTTCATATATAAAGCATGCAATTGTCAGCACATGTTCTTCATTTTGCCTAAATGCTTCTCTAATTGGTGTTTTTATCATTATATTTAAGGATTGTATACACAAAATACAAAGGAAATACAAAAGGTTAAATTATCTGTGCTTTGAATCATCTTATTAAATAGTTTAAAATGTTTTTAACATAATTGTATTAGGATTTATTAGATTTTTGTTGCTTAGCACTTCTTGGGTAAATGTTTATAAGTTGTTTGAAATTTTAGTATTTTAATTTGCCTTTTTTCATTTAGTGGACTTGTGCCTCTTCATAATGCATGTTCATATGGACATTATGAAGTCACAGAACTGCTACTAAAGGTAAAAGAAATAAAAAAATAGTGAATTTCATTTGCTTATTTTAACTTGTCATGAATTTTCATGTGTTTGTTAGAGGCCTGGTGCACGAAATTGGTGCACTGGTGGGGGGAGGTGTCCCTCAGCCCAGCCTGCACCCTCTCCAATCTGGGACCCCTCAGGGGATGTCTGACTGCCAGATATTGGGCCTAAGCTGGCAGTTAGACATCCCTCTCAAAATTCTGGACCACTGGTTCCTAATTGCTCATTTGCCTATCTGCCTGGTTGCCCCTAACTGCCCCCCATCCCTGCCAGCCTGATAACCACTCACTGCCTCTGCATGCTGACCTGATCACCCCTAACTGCCCTCTTCTGCCAGCCTGGTTGCCCCCAATAGCTCCCTCCCTGCCAGTCTGGTTGCACCTAACTGACCCCCCCCCCCCCCCCCCCCCACCAGCGTGGTCACCCCTTACTGTCCCCGCCCGCTGGCTTGGTTTTCCCCAACTGCCCCCCTTTACCAGTCTTGTCGCCCCCAGCTGCCCCCCTGCCAACCTAGTCACCCCTCACTGACCCCCTTCCAGCCTAGTCACCCCCAACTGGCCCCTTTCCCCCCCACCCCCCGCTGGCCTGGTTGCCCCCAACTGCACACCCCCACCAGCCTGGTTGCCCCAGCTATCCTCCCCCACTGGCCTGGTTGCCTCTTACTATCCCCCCTGCTGGCTTTGTCGCCCCCAACTGCCCTCCCCTGCCTGCCTGGTTGTAGGCAGCCATCTTGTGAGGGTGTGAGGATTAATTTCCATATTATCTCTTTATTATATAGTATTAGTGAATAAAATTTTTAAGAAAAGCAGTTTTTAAAATGTTATCATTGCCTTAAACTGTTTTAAAAAGCTGAAATTAAAATATTGCTGACCTTTCAAAGAGTTGTAACTGAATTTTACAGTGAAATAAATGTCTTCTGAGTTTTATCTAATCCAGCAAAATGATTACTGACCTAAAACTTTTTCTCTTAATTCAGCATGGAGCCTGTGTTAACGCTATGGATCTCTGGCAGTTCACTCCTCTGCATGAGGCTGCTTCCAAGAATCGTGTAGAAGTCTGCTCTCTGTTGCTTAGCCATGGTGCTGATCCCACATTGGTCAATTGCCATGGGAAAAGTGCTGTGGATATGGCTCCAACTCCTGAGCTCCGGGAGAGATTGACTTGTATGTATTTATATCCTGAAGTCAAAATTGTTTGCTGCAAATTAGACTGTCTCACTTCTGTTTAGTTATAAATGCTGGTGTTTTGTCTAACTTGGATGATATGCTTCCATTCTTCTATATACACTAGTTTATAATCATCATTTCTGATCATAATCTTGTCTTCATGATTCCACAGGAATCTTAAATTTATATACTATATATATTTTGTGTTTATTCAAGTCTAATTCTAATTCACAAGTTGAGGCTCCCTCCTCCCTTTTTTTTTTTTTTTTTTTTCTTTAATATATTTTATTGATTTTTTACAGAGAGGAAGAGAGAGGGATAGAGAGTTAGAAACATCAATGAGAATCATCGATCAGCAGCTGCCTCTTGCACACCTCCTACTGGGGATGTGCCCGCAACCAAGGTACATGCCCTTGACCGGAATCGAACCCAGGACCCTTCAGTCCACAGACCAGTGCTCTTCCACTGAGCCAAACTGGTTTCGGCCTCCCTTTTTTTTTTTTTTTTTTTTTTTTAATAAAGGATGAGTTAATCAATAACCATATAATGAATACCTACTATCTGTTATGCACTGGAAATACATCCGAATAAAACCAAAAAAACAACAACTCTGAGTTCATAGAGCTTATATTCCTGTGCTGTTGGTAATAATAGATGTCATCAAGTTTGCACAATTCTGTTTTACTTTTTTTGTGTTATAGCCCAAGTGAAATAACTTGCCCACATTTACATGAGATAATTTTTATGATTTGGTGGAAGTAATCTAAAATGCTGATAATTTGAATTCAGTTTAAATTTCTCTAGACTTATGGATAAGCCAAGCAAAACCATGCTTCTTATTTGAAATTTGTTCTGAATACATCACCTTACTTTGCAGTTGTCAGGATCCTACTCCTTACATATGACAGTTTATAATTATCTCAAGTATGTTTTTATATGTCTTTTGGTTATCTGCGTCTTTGGAGAACAATTTTCAGCTTTTTGTTAATAAGTTGTCATATCAGAATTAAACCAAACTTATAAAATAGAAAATAAGACTATATGTGTTTAATAAATAAGGGTATTGGCTTCTTATTTACGTAATTAATTTAGAAATCCCTTTTAAAAAATCTCTTACTTGATTATAGCAATAATCATTACATTTATTGGTGGAGGGAATAGTAGTAGTACAGCACACAAAAATTCGGTCTGCATAGCCTTCCTCTTTTGTTACTTGAGTTTTCATTTAATAATACATGCTTTCATGTCAGTAAATGTTGGTCTGTTTTGCTTTTTAAGAGTTGTATAAAATGTATAAGTGTTCACAAATTATTTAACTAGTTTCCATTTGGTGGACAGTTAGGGTGCTTGTTTGAAAACTTTCCTGGAGTGAGTATATTGGTATGTGTATCTTTATGAATTCAAGGAGGATAAAAAGCCTTATTTCAGAGCATACATAATTCTTAATTTTTCATTAACCTACACCCTCATCCTTTGCACCTTCATCATCATATCGCCATGCTGCTGCTGTTGCTAAAATAGAGGACTGTTTAAAGTTAAGAATTGCCTTAATTTATAATCATGCTAATAATTTTTATAAATTTAAAATTTTTATTTCAACCATTATTTTATTAACAGATGAATTTAAAGGTCATTCTTTATTACAAGCAGCAAGAGAAGCAGACCTAGCCAAAGTCAAAAAAACACTTGCCTTGGAAATCATTAATTTCAAACAACCACAGTCTCATGAAACTGCACTGGTAAGATTTTATTGTTAATCCATCCTGAGGGTGATAATTGCAGTGTGAGCACAAAATATAATTTTTATTTCACAAACCTTAAAGTAACTGTGGTATCTAACGTGACAGGGATTTGCATTTTAATGGTTGCATTGATTTTTAATTTGGTTCAGGAGGCTGTTGTGAGAGGATAGACTTGCTCAACCGTAATTTGGGAATTAATTTTACATTTGCCTTTACCCAACCATATTGTAACAAATCCACCTTTGTGGCCAATGCTTTCAGAAATGCAAGATGTGATTTTTCTCTATAGAATCTTCTTTTTCTTGTGGTTAGTTGATAAATATATTTGTTTTCTGTAGATGATTAGAGTATTTTCAGAGATACTTCAATTATCCTTTTGAGCAATCGTATTTATTTGTCTTCTATAGAAGATTAAAATATTTTCAAAGATTCTTGCATTATTCTTGTGAGCAATCGTATTCAAAGAATTATTATATTCATTATAGAAAATGGTAAGAGTGTGCATTTTTTGTTCCAGACCATACCAGTTGTCTTTTAAATTGAAACATTTGTGATGCCTCTATCACAGACCTCTAAATATACTTCAGTTAACATTCTCTCATATATCTGGCACATTCTCTCATATAACTGTCATCAAATCATGTGGAAACATTGAAAGAGTTGCCAAACTGAAATGGGTCAATTCTATGTACATCTAAATATGTGGCTCTAAAACTGTGGTTCAGAGACATTCATGCTACACAGCATTATTCCAGGTGATACTCAAATCATAGAATAACCTTGACCTGCTTTTTGGAGTGTTCATTTTATTCATTAGAAATTAGTTTTTTATTTTTTATTTTAATACAAACATTAATATAAAATGAAGTTGAATATAAATATGGGATAAAACATAGAATTTCTGAGAATACGTCTCCCTCTAAGCTCTTGGAGGTCTCTTACCTTCCTGCCTCCCCTGGGCACACAGGCTTATTTATTCTTCTGAATTGCTGCGAGTACCTCTGTGAAAGAGGAGGAGAAATATTGATTATGTGGCTGATGGTCTAATAAAGAATTGAGAAATTTAATTACAGATTTTTGTAGCTTTGGAGAGGCAGTGTTCTGATACCTACAAGTAAATATGGACTGGATAATTATTTATTGGCTAAAGGAAAAGATAAAAGTATTTCTTAGTGCTTAACCAAGAGCATAATTTTATCTTGCTGCCAGGGTTATGTTTTGCACTCCCAGTGTATTTAGGAGGAATTTTGATCATCTTCATAATGTAAAATGTATAAGTATACTTTGAGATAACAATGTTCAGCATATTGCTATTTAATTCAGAAATCTACTTTTAACTAGAAGTTTATTTTATTGACTTTTATTTACAGCACTGTGCTGTGGCCTCCCTGCATCCCAAACGAAAGCAAGTGACAGAATTGTTACTTAGAAAAGGAGCAAATGTTAATGAAAAAAATAAAGAGTAAGTGTAATTGCAGTTGTTGTTCAATTCCTAAAGGGGAAATGCAGTAAAAGTTAGTAAACCGCCTCTCCTTTTCCCCTCTCCATAGTTTCATGACTCCCCTGCATGTCGCAGCAGAAAGAGCTCACAACGATGTTATGGAAGTTCTGCATAAGCACGGAGCAAAGGTAAGGCACACGCCTGAAATGAAGTGCCAGACGTGGCATTGAGTAGCTAGCTACTCTTAATTAAGACTGTTAACTTCTTCAGGAAAATTAGAGAGAAAGTAATTTTATAAAAGAAGGTTAGCATGTATTTGAATTCATTGATTCTCCTTTAAAAGCTGGTTTAAGTCTTGTTCCTAGTAAAAATAATTTGTGTTCTACTGTAATTTACTGTTATTCTTCTATAAAGTAATAAAATGTAATTGCAGTCTTATTATTTGAAATATATTTCAACTTTATATTGTTTTATGTTAATACTGAAATTAATATATTTTATAGTTAACATCAGTGATGGTTTACGGAAATGTTAGTCAAAATCTCACTTATTTTAAAGAATATCTGTATTCCTTCACACTTATACTGGTAATTTTTTTTTTTTCAAATAACCTCAACACTAAAAAATTTTAATTTGTTAAAATACTATTCTTTATTTAAGAATAATTTGAAATGTATTAATACTTAATACACAGGTGGTTGCAGACAGCCTCATTAGGTCCAAGTGTCAGCCTGAGTCACGTCTACACCCAACATGCTTCCTAAGGCAAATTGGGAGTTTGAGAGGGAGGGATTGACAGGGAGGCCACAGCACAGTGCTGTAAAGTAAATAAAAGTCAAAATAAACTATTTTAAAGTAGATTTCTGAATTAAATAGCAATGTGCTCAACATTGTTATCTCAAAATATTCTTATATATTTTACATTATAAAAATTATTAAAATTCCTCCTAAATACACTGGAAGTACAAAACATAACCCGGACAGGGAAAAACTCATTTGTTCATTTCAGCATGTTGTGACATATTGCACTTTACATGTGTACAAATCAGTAGATTTATAGACATTATCCTAAAAGTGGAACCGTCATGATACCATTGTTGATAATCAGAGGGAATGGCCATGACAATCTTATAGCATAAAGAGCTTGTCTGGCTATTTTATGAATTAATATTTTCAGAAAATCATAGTGTGTTTTTTTTTTAAATGAAAATAAGAGAGTTTAAAATTTGCTGGTAGTTTAACAACAAATGACCATTACTTACATGTCGGTATCTTTTTAAAAAAAGAAACATAATCAGACCCATTAAGGTAAGCTATATATTTTAGAGTGAATGAGAAAGTGAACCATCTAGGATATTTTGAAAATAGAACTTTAGAAAATGTTCACTTTCCTTATTTTATTTTGTTGCCCCCAAAATGATATATTCACCCTGCTGTTGTATCTACATAATTTAAAAACTTGAGAAAACAAATTTCTAAACTGTTTTAAAAAGTTTTTCTTGTGTTTAGATTTTTTATCTATTAAAAATATTATAATGCAGCATCTCCTAATAAATTTGTGAGAACATCAACAAGTAGGCAATTTTGCTAACAGAATTTCAAATGAAACCTTAGAGTAATCAGTGAATTACATTAAAAATAAGCAATGTGATTTCAGAAGGCATGAACTTTTCAGTGGTTCTGCATATCTGAGTGGAACCTTTTCAGCTATTGGGACCAACTATTGAAAATGAACTTAGAATCAGACCCTCAAATCTACATTACAGTTTTTTATAAGATTTTTCACTTTTTTAAAATTGAACCAAAAGATACTTTATACCATTGGTAATTAAAATATTTTAAAATTTTAATTATTTTATCTCTTTCCCATTCTTTATAAATTATTTTGCATGAGTGTTATACATATTTTTTATACACTGGAGGCCCAGTGCATGGATTGTGCTCAGGTGGGATCCCTTGGCCTGGCCTGTGCCCTCTTACAATCCAGGACTCTTCAGGGGATGCTGGAGGACTGGTGCACAGATTCGGCCTGATCCCCACAGGCCAGGCCGAGGGACCCGCCGGTGCACAAAAATCCGTACACAGGCCCTCTAGTGTGCATATCAAATCTTTGGTTAATCACTTCCCGCCCTCCCCTACCCCCTTCCCTCTGAGAGTCATCAGACTATTCCAAGTTTTCATGCCTGTGCATTGAGCTTCTGCCCCCTAGTGGTCAGTGCACATCATAGCTACCGGTCGAATGGCCACTTAGGCTTTTATAGAGAGAGATTAGTATAGCACAGCTTGGCTGTAATTTATAAATGAGCATGTGTATATTTATTCATGATATACATCATCGAAAAACAACAATTGTTTTTTATTACAAAAATCAAGATGAGCTAGCATGAAAGGGAATGGTGTTCTACAGATTTAAACCTGTTTTGAGGGTACCATATTGTATTGTTATATAGATAAAGTCTTGTTGCTTTTCAAGCAGCAAATATTAAGCTTAGTGGGTTTTCTATACTTAAGAGCATCATATGTTTATCATTGACCTATTTTTAAAAATACCTTGTGTCATTTCTAATATTCCTTAAAAACCATGAATAATGCTTTTCATATTGGGAAAATATCTATTTGTTGTCTCCCATGAGTCATTTTATCTCATGAAGGTTCAGTGAAAAATAACATTATTTCATAGCCTATCTTAGTCAGCATTACTCTAGGTCTATGGTTCTCAATCTCTGCCCTTCATGTTCACATTCTTATCAATAATGTCAAAATTCATCGGTGGGGCATGTATTATTTTAAACACCCTAGCAGTGATGTAGAATGACTTTTAAACTAATATATTGTCTCTAGCCTTTCCACTACAGTTCAATTGAATTAAGAATACTTGCTATTAGTTACGTTACGTAAACAGAGTGGGAGAACATATTTAATCAGGATTATGAACCAATGGATACCAATTGCCATCCTCCCATTCACTCATTCCCTGGTTCTAAGACAGGCTGCTGTCCCTCCGGGTTGTTTTATCTGATGACAAATGCATTAGTAAAAACCCAACTTAGCTTCTGTGGGCCCCATTGCTTGCTTGCTTATTATTCTTTTGTGGTTTTTGTTTGATTTTCAGACAACTCATGGTTTCCCATTTGATTCTAAAAACACCTTCAGAACAAGCAGCCCCAGCCTTGATGAGGATTCTGTGCTCTTATACTGCTTCCACCACCATGCTGCCTTCCCCTCTTCATGATGCATCCAGCCCTCAAGCTAGGGCTGTTATTGCATCTGAGAAGGCAGAGAATTGTGCAGGGAGAGTTAATACCAGTAATTAATTTGTTTACTTAGATAGAATGTAGTGATAGTTATATAAGCCAAAGCATTCTTTTGCTCAAAGCTTGGTGATGGAAACAAAGTTCAGGTGCATTGTGTGGTAAAACTAAACAAATTAAATATATAACGTAGGCAGGCATATTTGTCAGAGAAAAAGAGAATATGAATGAGACTTCAGTTTGTTCAGCACAGCTGTTGGATAGGCACCCTCTAGTCTAATCAGCTATGCTCAGGGAGTTATTTCTCAGGCACTTTGGGTTTGTGAGAAGGTAAGAGCCCCTTTACTAAATAAAGCAAACAAGTCATATACTGTTTTAATATTTATGCATCCCTCTTTTCAAAGAACTTGATTGTTTCATTTTAAATACCTCATGAATTTTGAAGGTTCACAAATAGCAATACATTCAAGTTTAGCTAAAAAGAATTTATTTGTTAGAAGTTATGATTAGTCCATTGAGGACAGAAAGGAATAGTAATGAAAATCTGAAAGGATAGTTTGAAGCAAAATCTTGATAGTCTCAATTGGAGAGTTTTGATTTTGTTCTCATAGTACTTGGAGAGCCATTGGAAAGTTTGAATAGGTATGGGTGAACAGAATCCTGATTCAGTAAGACACTTTCTCTTAGAAAACCAATTACAGAAATATAGACTCAAGGTACACATATATGATCATTTAGTAATATTCAATAAAAATGGCTTTTTAATATTTCTGAAAGGAGGCATGATATCAAGATAATGTTTTTTACCTCCAGACTATAGAAGTTATAATATGCCTGCCAACTGTTTGAAGTTATGATTAGGTTAGTTAGAGTAGGTTATAGTCTATTCTATTGTAGATTCCTATCTTTTGTTCCTCTATTGTATGTTCATTACCTCCTGTTAATATTTTTTTATTGTACACTTTCACTGCAAGGTGTCCTGATTTAGGGGGAAAATACACATTGTCACTCTAGCTAAAGGAATACAAAGACTAGTGTCAGCTCTCAGGTACTTAAAATCAGGTTAAGATTTAGACATACATATGTTTTCTTAATTAAAGTTACATTGTGAGTTAACAGTAAATGCTTGATTACAGAAATGTCACAGAATAGTTCATTATTACTACCAAATGAGTGAAATGGACAAGGAGAGCTTTAAATTTAGTAGAGAAATGAACTCAGCCTCAAGCTTAGCTCTTTGAGACTAGATTATTTCACCCTGAAAGGTTCTCCTTAGCCAGTGCCTTATAGTCTGCTTGTTGGTTTTCAGGACTGTTTTGGCATGTTTGAATCATAATTTTATGTCCTATATATTTTAAGCCAGATACCATTGAAATTTCTATCATTTATCCAATTAGCCTCTTTAGGAAAATTATTATTACTACTCAGATAGAAATAAAGATATACAGTATACCTCAGGTTGCTATCTCTAGATAGCAACAGGGAGGGTGGGGCGAGAATCTGTTTTGTCTCTAAAACTGCCAGACATCTGTTATTTTTCTGACACCTTATACAGTTGGAGAATAACACATTAAATGTAGCATTTTTCTTATTTGAGGCAGTTTCTGTACTTCAGTGAAAATAGCCTCTTTAGTGTTGAATAGTAAGCATTTCTGATGGCATCCTCTATCATATCCCAATAGTGGATATTTTGATAGAGAAAAATAGAGAGAACTGGGTCTAAAAAAGACTTGATCAGAAAAACTGATTTAACATTCCCAGACTTCTCAAAATAAGTATGTATTTGGTAGTTCCAAATAATATTAAGAATTAACGTTTTATAACTTTAAAATATGGAGAGTAAATTAATGATGATGTGTATTAAATAAATCTGTCATATATTTTAGTTTGAAAACAAATTATAGACAGCAGTACATACATACATTTTAATTTGAAAGCTTGGGGGTGACCAAGCCGAGTGGGGCAGTGGGGGCGACCAAATGACTGAGCAGCAGGCTGCGTGGGGCAACCAGGCCCGCGGGGGGTGGGGTGGGGGGGCAGTTGGAGGCAATCAGGCCAGCAAAGGGGGACAGTTAGGGGCTATCAGGAAGGTAGGCAGGCAGGTAAGCAGTTAGGAGCCAGTGGTCCTGGATTTTGAGAGGGATATCTGACTGCTGGTTTAAGCCCTATCCCCAGGCTGAAGGACCCTCCTTCCCTACCCCCCCCACCCCCACCCCGTGCACAAATTTCATACACCGAGCTTATATCGATAGTTAGAATACTACCTATAGAAATTAGTAAATGCCTTATATGTAAATAAAGGAAGGAGGACATAAAGCTTCAGTATATAATCAAGTTTTTAGCTTAGGTTTACAAATCAATTCTCATCAAATGTTTGGAATTGTTTTAGCTAAAACGTTCCTTTTATAAGTTAATTCTAGTAACCATTTACATGTTATTCTATTTTTATTTTTCATTCATTCAGAAGGCATTTCTGAAGCTCCAGCTATGATCATAAGGAGGGTGAAAGTGCAGGGAAAAGGGACATTGCAGATTGTCGTAATCATTGCTTCTAAATAACTGACAATTTACAAAAAGCATCTAACGCGCAGCCTAGTAGTTGTGTTAGTTGCATCCCTTTTTTAACGCGAATTCTTAGGAGATGAACAGCTGGGTCTGATTTTGATAGGTATATATAAAGGGAAAGAATGTGAAGCAGAGAAAATAGGATGGTAGAGAAATGAGAATGTACACAGTAGAGTTGCACTCTGGGCCACCCTTCTCAAAACATGGAGAGAAATAAGAGGAACAAGAAATATTAATTTAAAGAATTTTAATGAGTGGTGATTTTTGCCTCGTGTTTCACTCCATAAGTGCATGCTCATGAAGAGTGAGATAGTAGAAGTGAATCTACTATTTTCTATATTATGCTCAGCTTCACCATCCATATTTATAGAGAGGACCTCTTATTACACATAGTCTGTTTGTAATGTTTAAAATACTTTCTATAATTTATCTGCTGTTTAGTCAATCTGCTCAGACACTGTAGGTAAGCTACCTAGTGTTGGATTTACCAGGAAACTTCACATCTGTCTCTCCTATTATATTGCTACGGTGTTTTCAAGGATAATCTTGACCAAAGGCATATTTTATTTCTTGCAGTGACTTTAGAAACTAACTTTCATAAAGTGGGTGGGGCTTCAGCATAATCTAATAAAGCTGGAGCAGAGCACTAGACAGTGATGGGAAAATACAGAAAGCAAGTGGTGCCAAAAAAAATTATAGGTTGCCTTAAGTGATGCTGAGGGGTTCATTCAAGTTTATTTGAATAAGGCACTCAGCTGAGGAATAACTTGGTAAGATCTGTATTTTGGAGTAATAATTCTCTAACCATGTTCCCATGATTTAATAAATTCCATTGAGGATTTTCATAACTATAATTGAAAAATGTAGTGGGTTTCTTATCTAAATTCCAGAAAAATATTAGTGATTAGAATATTCTCAAATTTAAGTTTTTCTCCTGTGGTGAAGAAATAATAAAGAACTATTCATAAGAAAAATATCAAGTAATTTACTTTGGCAGCTTGTATTTTCCATCAGTACATGCTTATGGTTGTGCTTTTATGCTGTCTATGTATAATCAGTCATTTTTCTGATGGCAAAGTTGCTGTAATTAAATATGTCAGTATTTCATGGCGAATTTGTAAACCACCATTAAGAATATAGATGAACCCTTGTCTAACCAAGTCTGACAGCCTTACTTGTAACGATGCAAGACTGGAGACAGGGAATTCCATTCTCTTAAATCCTTTTTTTCTTACTCATGCATTTGGTAGGTGTGCACAAATGTTTTGAATAACCAGTAAGCAGATATTTGATAATTTACTATGCATCATTAACAGGAGCTTTATAGGGGACCCAGAAAACCTAATATAGTTCATATTGTCAATAAAAAATAAAAATAAAAATAGTTTTATTTGGGAAGCAAACTATCACAGTCTTCAGAAAGAAATTATCGAGGTTTCACATATTCAAGGAGGGCTTCAAGAAGAGCGGGACTTTCACTGGATCTCATAATCCAGAACGGCAGAAAGAAGGGCTTCTCTGAAGTAGCAATATGTACAGTGAACTTGGACTTGGGGTTGATTGGAGTAGAAAGTATTTACAGGGCATCCTGGAAAACAGCTTAGGACCAGTAAGGTTTGACCAAATCATGAGCATGGTCCAGAAGTTTAATATCCTGGCTTTAAAACTAAAGTATTATTCTTCACAACTCTTCAAACCTTTAAAAATGGAACATTTGAATCTTTGAATTATTTTTTTTTTTGTTAAATGTATTTGTAATTAAACTAGGGCATTTTATTATAGTAGTAATTATTTTCTAAAATTAGAAAAAAATATGTAATCACTTTAACTGTCTTTGTTTACATAGTCTGTTGTTTTTATATTCTGAGAACAAGTCTGATAAAACATATTCATCCAGAAGTATTTAATGTACATCTTTAATGTGATAGGCAGTGGATATTAGACAAAGTCCTGGCCATATTCTAGCTGTTGAGGGGAATGGCAAGGAGTAGAGGGTGAACAGAAAGATGGTCATTTAGGGAAAGAATAGGTTTGTTAAAATTTTCAATAAGGTGATCAGAAAAGGCTAACTTAAGAAGATGATATTTCTGCAGAACCAGTGAGCAAAGTTAATAATGGTTAATCTTTGGCATTTTTCAAAAGCTATGTCAATTGCATTTTCTCATTTGAAATTATTTGCTTGATTTCATGTGCCCACCAATGGTTTTTCAGATGAATGCGCTGGACACTCTTGGTCAGACTGCTTTACATAGAGCTGCCCTCGCAGGTCACCTGCAGACCTGCCGCCTCCTGCTGAGTTATGGCTCTGACCCCTCCATCATCTCCTTACAAGGCTTTACTGCAGCGCAGATGGGAAACGAGGCAGTGCAGCAGATCCTGAGTGGTGAGTTCAAATAGCTAACCATTGCATTCTCTCTCTCCCATGTCCCATCAACTAATGAACACAGACAGACTTTGTACCTCCTGTTTTTAGCAGCTTCTTGGAATGTTTGTTTGTTTGAATATTTTTGCTGCTTTTCCTTGCTTATAGTTTAGCAGTGGCTCTCTGTCAGCATTTTTGGTGAGGTGAGGTAGGTTAAAAACCTGACTTGTGTATTACAATCAAAAATTAGTTTAAGCTCATATAAGCAGTGTGGAATTATGCTACCTCTAAAATCTGTCAATAGAGAAAATTTCAGGTCATTCATATGGTTAGGAACTTTAATCAATTATTCTTACAAATGATATATTCTGACCTGTGTTTTGTAATTTTAACTTCATTGCACTTTTATGAAATTACCTTGTGTTTTCCTGGCTTAAATATAATTATAAAACCTGACTGAATATTAACAGTGCCTATCAAGTATAGTGTTTGATAATTTAAGTGCTTAGTTTATTGAAGAAGACTATACATAAGACTGATACAAAATAGACACTAGTTCCCAAAACCCCAAAATTAGACAAAATACCACAATTCATCTACTGAAAAATGATCAACTTGATACAAAAGAAATCTCATACACCTGACCCTTATTTCTCATTTCTTTAATTTTGACTGTGGAGTTTATCTGCTCCAGAATAACGTAACAAAGTGAGGGAGTAAAATGAGGAAGGTAACAGACTAGAACTCTGAAGTCCTAGTTCTTGTTCTTACCAGTCCTTTACTCCCATCAGGCGCAGGGCCCCTTTTTTATAATGAATATTTTGTAATATCTCTTTTACTATCCAGAAGTTAATTCATAAATAATATGATCTAACTATATGGACATCTTCCAAAAATCTATATTAAATGTCCTAATTATAACATTAAAAAATGATGGTAAGTTTTAATTATAAACTACTGGCAATATTTATGTCAAAATTAATGTCAGATTAAAGAAAATAAGCAGTTTTTTAAAATGAGCATTTTAAAATTGTTTTTAGAAGATTGGACTTTTTTCTTTCTTTTTTTTTTTTTTTTTAATACATTTTATTGATTTTTTACAGAGAGGAAGGGAGAGAGATAGAGAGCTAGAAACATCGATGAGAAACATCAACCAGCTGCCTCTTGCACACCTCCTACCAGGGATGTGCCCGCAACCAACGTACATGCCCCTGACCGGAATCGAACCTGGGACCTTTCAGTCCGCAGACCGACGCTCTACCACTGAGCCAAACTGGTTTCAGCTGGACTTTTTTCTAAACCAGCTCTATCTAATTGTTAGTCACTAGCTACAAGTGGCTAAATTTAAATTAGTTAAAATTAAATAAAAATTTTAAATCATTTATCATTTGTACTATCTTCATTTCAGACACTCAATAGCCACACATGGCTGGTGGCTACTGTATTAAGCAGCACAGACGGAGTATTTCAACATCACAGACAGTTCTTTTGAACAGATCTTAACCTGAATTCTTCTGATTATGTATTCCACTGTGGTTATTGCATTGCTTTTACCTAATCCTTTACAGAAGTAAGGATTTGGGGATTTGATGATAGCTAAATTATAATTGAAATCTCCGTTTGCGTTATTTGCATTTTGAAATAAGCCACTCAGATCTATTGCCAGTTTTGTAGTCTAATACTAAACAACAAGACTACAGGAGATTTTTTAAAATAACCAACTGCCTTTCAGGCTTTGAAACTTTAGCGCTTTTTTTCATAGTATAGTGGATATTTGACTTTTTTTCTTCTTTATGGATTAAGCTATTACTATATATGTGTCCTTATTTAGCTTTTTGTTTGTTTGTTTTTCATTCTGGTGAGACAGAAAGAATTGGGGTTTCTAAAAAATTAGAAACCAATTTCTAGCCTTTGACACTACATGAAATATTTATTTTCATCCTCTTCAAAGAGCGTGCTTATAAAGAATTTTATTAATACAATATTTTGCATATCATCTAGTCTTCTTTTGACTATATTTCCTTTTTAACCTCATTTTTAAATTGTGCATCTCTTTGTATGAAGCTCCTGGGCAGTGTGTGTGTGTGTGTGTGTGTGTGTGTGTGTGTGTCCTTTCAGCAAATACTTTATTCGCATTATTTCTAAAAATGAATCTAAACCTGTTCAGGATTTATAAGGGATGCATTATTTGTTTAGCAATTAACCAATATCTTTAACTAACTCTATTCTTTGATTAGGACTAAGTCTTTCTCATAGTTCTCAAAAAGCATCTGAGGCCCAGTGCACGAAATTTCATGTATTGGGGGCAAGGGTCCCTCAGCCTGGCAGTCTGGGACCCTTCACTCCTTACCGTCTCTGTACTAGCCAGCCGTGAGCCCGGCTTCTAGCTGAGTGGCACTCCCCCTGTGGGAGAACACTGACTACCAGGATACAGCTTCCACGTTGAGCATTTGCCCCATGATGGTCAGTGCGCATCATAGAGACCAGTTATTTTGCATATTAGGGTTTTACTATATAGAATAACAATTTTTGTTTTATTGTAAAATTATACCTTTTATAAATCAGTCTGCATCAAGACAGGTGTGCCAATTTCAAGTCGTTTTTAGAATTTAAAAATTCAGCCATATAATTGTATCTTTCAAATACTAGAATCTGAAAATATCTGAAGTTCTAATTCTATGTACATAAATAGTTGTCATTTTATTCTGTTGAAATGATAAACTAAAAATATGATCTATAGATTTCCTAAGGCTGATTCAATGAGTTTTGCCAACTACCAGAATCACTGTCATTGAGGATATAATATGTGCCTCTTTAAATGAAGTAATGTCATGCACAGTTAGAATGGAGGCAAATGAGACATAAAAGACAGAATAAGGGAAGCCAAAGAGTTAAGATTTGACGTCACTGACCCAATATAGAATAGCATGGAAGTCAGTTCAGCAATGCCTTCTGAATTATCTCCATGTGAAAAGGAATATAACGATGAGCAAAACCTAATTCCCTTCCTCAATGCTTCCTAACTAACAAATGTAATAATCTCTCTTTTAAAGAAAAATAATTTCAAAAATGTACTTTATTAGATGAAATCCTCTATTCTTTCCTCCCTTTAATATTAACATTTTTATCTGCTATTATTATTGTGACTAAATAAATTCAATTTCTCTTTCATTGAAGAGTTCTCACAACTCACTCTGTAAAAACTTTTTTCCTGAACGAAGGACTTTAGAGTAGAAAGAAAAGTATTTCCTCTGAAATCTAAAACCTTTCTTTAGCATCAGTAAATCTTCCCATTTGGATAGTGGACTGAATAAAGATGTCTAATCGTAAAGTAATGCAATCTTAAAGGATTTTAAGGGAATTTAAGGGAAACCAGCAATCACTTAATAGGTGCAAAAACTAAGCTATTAGGTGTTTTGTCTATCACAGTTAATAGAGCCCAATCTAAACCCATTCTCCTGGACTTCAGTCCTTTTTTCTATTACCTGAATGTGTGTACATATTATAAAAGTCACACTTGGCAACCGCTGCTTCGGGCCTGGCCGCTCCCAGCCTGGCAGCCGCTGCTCCAGGCCTGGCGGCTCCCAGCCTGGCAGCTGCTGCTCCAGGCCTGGCCTCACCAGACCCGGCTACTCCGGGCCTGGCCGCTCCCAGCCTGGCTGCCGCTGCTCCGGGCCTGGCTGCTCCCAGCCTGGCAGCCGCTGCTCCGGGTCTGGCCGCACCAGACCCAGCTGCTCCGGACCTGGCTGCACCCAACCCGGCTGCTCTGGGCCCGGCTGCTCCAGGCCCAGCCGCTCCGGGCCTGGCCGCTCCCAGCCTGGCAGCCGCTGCTCCGGGCCTGGCCGCACCAGACCCGGCTACTCCGGGCCTGGCCGCTCCCAGCCTGGTAGCTGCTGCTTCGGGCATGGCTGTACCCGACCCGGCTGCTCTGGGCCCAACTGCCCCGGGCCTGGCTGCTCCGAGTCTGGCCGCTCCCAGCCTGGATGCTCCGGGCTTGGCTACTGCTGTTCTGGGCCTGGCTGCTCCCAACTCGGCTACTCTGGGCCCGGCTTCTCCGGGCCCAGCCACTCTGGGTCTGGGTGTTCCTGGACTGACCACCCTGGGCTTGGCCGCCTCCGCCTCAGGCCTGGCTGCCACTGCCCCAGGTCTGGCTGTTCCAGTGCTGGCTGTTGATGCTCTGGTTCTGGCTGCTGCTGCTCTGGGGCCTGGCTGTGGTTGCCAGGCTGGGAGCGGCCAGGCCCGGAGCAGCCGGGTCGGGTGCAGCCAGGCCCAGAGCAGCAGCTGCCAGGCTGAGAGCGGCCAGGCCCGGAGCAGCCGGGTCTGGTGCGGCCAGGCCCGAAGCAGCGGTTGCCAGGCTGGGAGCGGCCAGGCCCGGAGCAGCCGGGTCTGGTGCGGCCAGGCCCGGAGCAGCAGCTGCCACTCTGGGAGCGGCCAGGCCCGGAGCAGCCGGGTCTGGTGCGGCCAGGCCCGGAGCAGCGGTTGCCAGGCTGGGAGCTGCCAGGCCCGGAGCAGCGGTTGCCAGGCTGGGAGCGGCCAGGCCCGGAGCAGCCGGGTCTGGTGCGGCCAAGCCTGAAGCAGCAGTTGCCAGGCTGGGAGCGGCCAGGCCCAGAGCAACCAGGTCTGGTGTGGCCAGGCCCAGAGCAGCAGCTGCCAGGCTGGGAGCGGCCAGGCCTGGAGCAGCGGCTGCCAGGCTGGGAGCGGCCAGGCCCGGAGCAGCCGGGTCTGGTGCGGCCAAGCCTGAAGCAGCGCTGCCAGGCTGATCGGCAGGCCGGAGCAGGCCCGCCTGGAGCGGCTGGGCCCGAAGCAGCCGGGCCCAGAGCAGCCAGGTCAGGTGCGGCCAGGCCCGGAGCAGCAGCAGCCAAGTCCAGAGCAACTAGGTCGGGAGCGGCAGTGACCAGACCCGGAGCAGCTGGTTGTGGAACGAACCAGAGCAACAGAGGCCAGGCCCGGAGCAGCCAGACCCAGAACAGCTCGCTCCTCGCCTGCCCCTGCCCCACAGCTGCCTCTCAGACATGGCTGGAAACTTTTGTGGGAACTTGAGGGTCTGCTGAATCAAGTGATGCAGGCTTAGATCTGGATGTGTTGAGTTAGTATAGTGCTGGGGTGTTGATCTGTGAGTGCCTTGGGTGGGGCCTGGATGAGGCTGGTTGACCTATTTGGAAATGTCTTTTGGGTGAAGTGTATCATTGGGCATGTGGAGATATTATTGATATGAGAAAATGCTAAGTAACTGATTTACTATCTGAAAAGGGATTTACTATTGGGGAAAGGGAGGGAGGAAGAGACTGAACATAAACTGTGCACCTATGGATGAGGACAATGAGGGGTGGGGAGGGGGCGGAGGGAACTTGGTGGAGGGGGGAAGAAATGAGGAACCTTTGTAATAATATGAACAATAAAGATTAAATTTAAAAAAATAAATAAATAAATAAATAAAAGTCACACTTACTGTTCATAAGTGTATTTTGAGTGATATAGTACATTCGTGTTTTTTTAAACATTTTCATTGAGGCCAATGTATAATGCATTTTTGTTTATATTGGATTAATCAAAAGATTCCATTTGTTAGCCTCATACTTTTAGACTTAGCCCAATTTAATTATATTCTACTTAGTTTTTATATCACATCTTCCATTTTATAGACATCTTAAATTGTATTTTCCTAAAGCCACTCAAGAAATGTGAATTAAATTTCTTTTTTTGATAGGCCTTTTTTTGTACACTGATTATGTTTTCCAAGATCACTAATTTCAGGAGTAGTACTTCTGTTTCATATTGAGAAAACTGAAAAAGAAAGGCTAAACATTAAATACTGAAAGTTGAATGGATTCCCTAGGTTTGCATAACAAAAATCTATGGCAAAGCTTTGCTACAACACTTTGTAAGACTAATCAATCATGAAGATGATCATGATCTCATGGTCCGTTGTATCTTCGTTCCCCTTTGCCAAGTATTGACCGGAAAGTTTGGAGAATAGAATAGCATGGTTGGAGACGGATTTATGTGTCTTAGAATTTACTTTAATGTGGCTTAGGATGAGATGGATATAGATTGAAGTAAGAAACCACTTATCTCTATTGAAAAAGATAGGTCTCAGAATCTGATCCCTTAATCTCTCTCTTTGTTTTCACCAAATAATTTACCCTCTTTAACTACTCTGTGATTCCTTGAAAGCCAACACTAGTCTTTCCTTTTATGCAGAAAGTACACCTATGCGTACTTCTGATGTTGACTATCGACTCTTAGAGGCATCTAAAGCTGGAGACTTGGAAACTGTGAAGGTAAGTTAATGCTTTTAATGTTTTGAGTAGCACTATTGAAACTTTGCTAACCATTTCATTTTAAGCTTCTAAGTAAAACTACAAGGAAAAGGGATGAGCAGAACAGGTATATAAACAAGAGAGAACTCTTAACCACGAAAAATTTCCTAATATGTGCCTTATATCCATTAAACTCCTTTTTAGTTACTTTTCTTCTGGTTATGGGATAGCTCTTTTATTTTCACTTATATTAATCAAATTGTTACTTTTAGCTGCATTCATAAATTTCTAAGCTAGTTCAAGCCCAGGTAATAGTACAATAATATTTAAAACAGTGTTTCTTGAAGTTTTCCAAGAGATTCTCACATTGGCTCTGGGAAAGAATGATCCTGCAGCCATTATGAATTATTTATATGCAGAAGATGGTTTTTCCTTTTTATGTAACTCTACTTGCTAACAAAATTTTATCAATCTTTATTTGTGGTATAAAAACAATTGTTATAAATTTAATGTTTCTCAAATAAAAAGTATATTCTAATATCAAATATACTTTTAAAAACATATATACTTCCCATTTATAATCATTCATGTAGAGATGAAGATAGCACAAAGGGATATAGTTTTTTATTTTGTTGGGGTTTTTTTTGTTTTTTTAAGAAAGGCCAATTGCTGAATATACTAGATTATATTTTTCAAACTAAACTTTGTCACTTATTAATAAGCCAATTCTATTTTTTTGATTTTTAGTAAACTAATTTTAGCCTCTGATGATGGATACTATTTGAAAATGACAGTACACACTTTTTAAGCTCTATGGCCTAGAAATTTTATTTTTGTTTTAATATTATATGTGGTCACTTTCAATCTCTCTTTCATCTTATAACATCTAAGTTATTTAAAGAAAAATAGTAAATAAATAGCCACTGGGGAGAAAATTTCAAGTTCTCTTAGATCTAAAATTACGGGGGGTGTTTGTTTTGTTTTGTTTTTTGTTTTCTTAAAAATACTCTGTAATTTGAAGTGTATTCTAATAAAGGAAAATGTTTAAATATAAAAAATGCTTAGCATTCCTTTTCTGTGTCACAGCATTGTAATCTCCACACTAGAATTGCTACATGTACCTATTAAAATGAAATTAAAACTTTTTTTAATATAATAAATTAACAAAATTCCTTACCTTTTGTGTATAAGTATACTGCAGCTTTCAGTTTCTTAAACAGTCTATTCACAATAAAGGACCAACTGTATTTTTTTTTTTAATGGAATCAACATGGCAGAAGAAAAAGCACAAATTAAGTGAGAATTAGATTGCATAAATTTCTTTCCCTGGAGGTTTTAGAAAGTATTAGAAATTAGATATTAGAAGAAAAGCTGTTTGCTGAGTAACGTACTTGACATTATATAAAGCAGCTTGAAAGGATGTGAAATTGCTTTGCCATTCAAAAAGAAAGTAAAACAGACTACAGAATAAAAAACTTCCAAATATTGAAAAGCAAGCACTTAATAAGCAGAATGGAGCTTTATTTTTGTAACCTGGTAAAATGAGTTGTGTTTCTTTATTTCCTCCCTCATCCCTATTTTGCCAGTATTCTCTGGGGAGAAAAAAGTTAAAGTAGAAAATAAGAACCAGAAGAGTAAGTGCTTCAGTCATGTAAGACACCACTGATGTTTGCTAGCAATTTTTGCAGCCTTTCTTTTTAGTTTATGTATTTATTGGTTTCTATTTAATTGTATTTTTTTATTCTCTAATTTATGTGTTAATGTAGCACAGACTCACTTGTCATGAAAAGATAAGATGTTTGACTTGGCCAGATGGTAATGTTCTTCAGCAGTTAGAGTCTGTGCTTTCCCACAGAGTTGATGCGATTGTAGGCGCTCCCTAATACTACCCAGGCTTTTTTCTGCCATGTAAAAATTGTACCGTCTGAAAAGTCCTGCTTTCACCCTACCAGTGTGAAAGCCTCTATTGGGTATATCAATAGAAACAGGTTCTTCATTTTTAGCCAGCCATGCACCAAAAAGATCAGGAGATTAATCAGGAAAACGGGGTCTGAGTCTTTACTACTACTTACCAACTCCATGAAAAAGGATTTCACTTAACCTCACTGAGCCTTGGTTTATTTATAAAATGGAGATAATGATCAATTTCACAGATAGCAATTTATTGAAAGAATCTGACATTTTTTACAAATTGTAAATGATTGTTCCAATATCATTGTAATTCATCTGTCACCACTGGTGATGCAGCCTGTCAGCTCTTACTTTGCTTCTACTGCTTGTAATCAAGGTGAGTGGAGTGGGTACTGAAATGGTAGCATTCAAAAGGAGAAAAGAAGATAAGAGAGAGACTTGGAGGGCATAGCTGAAAGAGGTGGAAGTAAAACCAAAAATTAGAATATGATTAGAAGCAGTTTGACTTGCAGAGTTAGACAAACATCCCCCAAAGATTAAGTAAAGCACTCTGGACTGCACGGCTTTGTTGGTTTTATTATCTTTTTGTTTTGTTTTTTAAGAAAGGCCAACTGCAATATTGTCATTGGTAGTCATATCAGATTATTTTTTTCAAACTAAACTTTGTCACTTTTTAATAAGCAAACTCTATATTGGATCCAAGTGTTTGGCCCAAGCAGAATTAATAAAGTTTTTCCAGAGCCTTTTTTCTCACCCCAAGAACTCTGGGTAACTCTGAAATCTAGTGGGGCTGCTCCTTTTTGAGAGAAGAATAGCTGTGACAAGCAGTCTTGGGGAGCAAAAGCCTTATAAAGATGAAAAAGTAAGGCAGCAGTTGCCTTGCAAATGCTTGCTTTATTATGGGTTTTTTCTTTTTATTAGCATTTTGTGAGTCAATTGCTCTGTTAATAGTAAGGATATTTCTAAACATAGTACTGATTTTTAAACATCACTTGTATTACCTAATCTTTGGAAATAAATATTAGAAAAATACAAATTATCCAAATACCTATAGTATTTTGGAGCAAAGTCTGTGGCTAAATGTTAATGTTCTTCTTATGCTTGTCTGTGTGTATGTGCCATCAAAGCAACTCTGCAGCCCTCAAAATGTGAATTGCCGAGATTTAGAGGGCCGGCATTCTACGCCCTTACACTTTGCGGCAGGCTATAATCGTGTGTCTGTTGTGGAGTACCTTCTACACCACGGTGCCGACGTCCATGCCAAAGACAAAGGGTATGTGTCAGGATCCAGCTGTTTGGATTCATTCTTTTGAGACTTAAAACATATATATATATATATATATATATATATATTAATATTTTTGAAGTCTTTGATTGTTTTCCCTATTTTAAAAAAGTAATACATGTGTTTTAAAGTTTAAAAGATAAATTAAAACATAGAAATGTATAGAAAGTAAAATTTCACCTCTTAGAGATTTAATTACAGCATTAAAATTTTGTTGTAATCCTCCCAATTTTTTAATTGCATGTACTAGCGTGTATGCTGCTGTGGGGTTTGTGGTGGTTTCTAGCATAAATAATGTCATTCCAGACAGTTTGCTTTGCAGTTTGCTTTTTTCATCTAGTAGTATATCTTGAATATCTTTCCATATCAGAATTTAATAATTTATCTCCTCCTTTTAATGCCTGTATATAGTATGAATGTGTTTATATAGTTTATAATTTATTGTTTATCCCTTGTTTTGCCATAAAAAAATGTATCTCTTCCAAAAGAAGCCATCCATCCTAAAGTCATCAGTACTAAAATAGAAACATTTTATTTTTTACTAATTCACATTTATATTTTTATATTAGTTTTACTAAATTACTTCTGTTTATCTAGACAGAGTTGTGTATTTTTTAAATATATTTTTATTGATTTTAGAGAGGAAGGGAGAGGAAGAGAGAGAGATAGAAACATCAGTGATAAGAGAGAATCATTGATCAGCTGACTACTGTATGCCCCCTACTGGAGATTAATCCCGCCACCCCTGACATGTGCCCTTGACCGGAATAGAACCTGGGAACTTATAGTCCACAAGCTACACTCTATCATCCACTGAGCCAAACAAGCTAGGGCTAGACAGAGTTTTTAAAGTACTAACCATGAAAGTTATTTAGAAATGCAAGAGGAAGTTTTAATTGAAATGAGCTGCTTCTGTGTTAATTTCATATCATCTCAAAATATAAATAAGTAAGCACCTTTCTATACAATACTATAGAATTAAACCATACAACTTAGATTTCAACTAACTGTTACGGGACACACCAGACATAAGTATTCAGTAGCTCTTTCAAAATATTACAGTGTCCTGGAGAGCAACATTTGTTAATATTGCCCATTTTAGCAATTAGAATTTTGATCTCAAAACATTAAAAAGAAGAAGAAAAAAAAGCATGATCTCTAAATAAAAAGGCACTTGTACCTAGTTTGCTCCATTTCTTAAGTGCAACTAAAACTTACCCTTTTGATGCACCTTTTTTTATGGGAACATTTTTGGTCCTTTTAGACCAGCGTTTTTCAACCGCTGTTCCGCGGCACACTGCCTGGTGTGCCGTAGGTGCAGACAAGACAAGAATTTTATAATTTTTCACTATTTTGTTTACTTAATATTTCATAATAAAGTAATTATAAAATACTTTCTTTGTGTTTATTTGATTCCTATTCAAGAGAATTACTTTATATATAGTCAATATAGGCACAGAGTTAAATTTTTTAACATTTTCTAATGGTGGTGTGCCTCGTGATTTTTTTCATGAAACAAGTGTGCCTTTGCCCAAAAAAGGTTGAAAAACACTGTTTTAGACTATCAGCTGCCTTCTCATCAGAACGTAGAATCCTCTCAGAATAGTTTGCTCATAATAAGGCAGCTAGATTCTCTTATCTGACTGGAGTTTGTGGTTCACACCATTATTTTCTTTAACAAATACTTAAGTTTCTTTGTCACTTAGATTTCGAGTTTTCAATTATCTTTAACAAATTCTTAAGTTTCTTTGTCACTTAGATTTCGAGTTTTCAATTTTCTTTAACAAATACTTAAGTTTCTTTGTCACTTAGATTTTGAGTTTTCATTACTTGGCACCTAAATATTTAAACTCTTGCACAGGAAAAAAAACAAAAAAATGAACACCTAAAGGTAGAATTTGCCTAAATAAATAACCTAAATTGCATTGTATATTTTCTAAGATTGCAGATATCATTAGGAAAACCCAGATCAGAGAACATTTGAGAGATGATAAATTTAATTATTGAGTAGTTATTGCTAAAATCACTTTGTAGTGTTGCTTTATATTGTCAGCATGAAACCTAAATTAAAAGTATTGTGATGGGCCGAAACTGGTTTGGCTCAGTGGACAGAGCATCGGCGCCTGCGGACTGAAGGGTCCCAGGTTCGATTCCAGTCAAGGGCATGTACCTTGGTTGCAGGCACATCCCCAGTAGGGGTTGTGCAAGAGGCAGGTGATCGATGATTCTTTCTCATCGATGTTTCTAGCTCTCTATCCCTCTCCCTTCCTCTCTGTAAAAAATAAATAAAATACATATTTCTTTAAAAAGTATTGTGATGGAGGCTCTGGCCAGTTAGCTCAGTTGGTTAGAGCATCATCCCAATACGCCAAGGTTGCCATTCCCATCCCCTATCAGGGCACATACAAGAATTAACCTCTCCCTCCCTCTCTTTCTCTAAATCAATAAAATAAAAAGGAAGTATTGGGATAGAACATGTGTGTGTGTGTGTGTGTGTGTGTGTGTGTGTGTATTTTAAGAATAAGGATTGCTAAATTTATATCCTTCACCAAGAAACTATGGAAAGTCTTTATATTGAAAGGGCCATCTTAAAAATTATTAATCCTCACTTGGAAATGGATGACTATATCTTCAAGACCAGAGTAGAATTTTCTAAGTGAGTCTTTAGTATGGCCAATGCCATAGAAGAATTTCATTATTATTTTCATAAGTATCATTTTAACTCAAAAGGTTTATCATATGTCTTAAAAATAATTTTCTTCTGTTTAGTGGCCTGGTGCCCCTTCATAATGCTTGTTCATATGGACACTATGAAGTAGCTGAGCTTTTAGTAAGGCATGGGGCTTCTGTCAATGTGGCGGACTTATGGAAATTTACTCCTCTACATGAAGCAGCAGCTAAAGGAAAATATGAAATCTGCAAGCTCCTTTTAAAAGTATGTAATTTTAAAAATTATAAAGTATAAAGTAATTATGTTTATTTTTGGTTAGTATATAAAATTACATCAAGGTAAATTCTGTTATGTACAGTACGTGCTATGGAGACGCTTCCCCTTTCCTCTTTGGGGGGGATGTTTAAGCGTGGTATCACGATACGTGCTTAGCTCTGAGTAGTGTCTGAAGTACCTTCGAACTGATTTGATTAAGTTCAGATAATTAGAGCTCATCAAGGCAGGTTTTCGAAAGAGTTGAATTAGTTTGCATTGCTTATCTAATACTTACAGTATTAATATCAGAAAACATTTAAGGAAAAACAAGTTGTTTTTTATCAAGTTTGATTTTATTTTATTTTTATTTTTTTACTGGCTACTTTATTGTTAACAAACTCATTCCTCATTATTAAACTATATATTTCATAAAAACTTTATTTTAAAATCAGATTTTAATTAAAATGTAAGATAATCTAAACAAAGTTATTTATATAAATTTTTGATTATACATGAAATCGTAGAACTAGTAGTTAATGTGAAACTAAACAATTTTGGGTTCTTTTTAAAGGATGTAAAAAATGACCAGACATGTATTTTACACTCTCTCTCTCTCTCTCTCTCTCTCTCTCTCTTTCTCTCTCTCTCTCTCTCTTCCTCTCTCTTTCTCTTTCTCTAACTAGAGAAAAACTTGTCCTGGGTTAAATATAAATAAAATTCTTCCTCCACCATTCTTATGGCATCAAATATATCATTATGAGTATTGAGAATAACACTGTATTTGATGCGCATTTCTATTATCACTGGCTAGCAAGTCACTGTGAATTCATTGTCTATCTTGTATCTTTCAAATTTCTCCAGTGGGTCTGTAGCAGACTGTCATAATAAATATTCTTGACTTTTATTTACTCTATTTCATAGTATATGTATGATTGAACTCTTAAAAGCAAATTAATTGTTAATACATTTTTACCTAATTTCATGATAGGGGTTAAGACTTACAATAAAAATATTTTAAAATTACCAAACTTTCTTCTGCATTTAGAATTAAGTACTTTTTCTACTTGTGTATTTTCCTCTTCTTTCTTTTTTTTCATGATATTCACTGAATATCTTTATGTAATTGAAATCTGATCAAAATTAACATTCAGACTATTCTCAAAAGGAAACGGTGTTTCTAAAGACAGTTTGGAGTCTGTGAAAGTATATTGGATGAAAAGTAAAAGATACTTAGTATTTTGCCATTTCACCATTCTTAGACTTTGGGCTTTGGTTTAGTAGTAGTTAGAAAGTTGATCCAGGATACTGCTAACTAAATAGGGAATTTGACAAATAAAACAGGATACTTCCTCTTTGTTAAAAATGCATGAAGAATAGATAACTTTCCTTAGATGAGTGAAGGAGAAGTTAAATAAAAAAAACCTGAAGAAAAATACTGTGGAAAGTACAAACCCATTTTTTTTTTTTTTTCCTTTGTAGCATGGAGCAGATCCAACTAAGAAGAACAGAGATGGAAACACACCTTTAGATTTGGTTAAAGAAGGAGACACAGATATTCAGGACTTACTGAGAGGAGATGCTGCCTTGCTGGATGCTGCCAAGAAAGGCTGCCTGGCAAGAGTGCAAAAACTCTGCACCCCAGAGAATATCAACTGCAGAGACACCCAGGGGAGAAACTCAACCCCTCTGCACCTGGCAGGTAGGCATCATGCGCATGCCTAAGCCTCCTTGCCCTTCTTTGGTACTTAATATAGATTCCTGTGAGATGAAAGGAATGTTGAGCATAAAGAGTACTCCTTAGAAAATCCTTTTGATTGGCATAATTTTATATAATTTTTTACTGTAAAGCTTCTTAATTATGTAATCATAGTATTAGCTTTTAAAGCAAAATGTATTATAACTTTAGCATTTTTCCAATCCTTATTATTTATATACAATTTTTTTCCCTTTAAGCTGACATGTTTGCCTTTTTTTACTCTAACAGCCGGCTACAATAACCTGGAAGTAGCGGAATATCTTCTAGAGCACGGAGCAGATGTTAATGCCCAAGACAAAGGTGGCTTAATTCCTCTTCATAATGCAGCGTCCTATGGGGTGAGCATGCTAAAGTTCAAGTCTAGAAAACTTTACTGACATTTACTGTTTTGTTACATGTATACTATGTATGAAATAAGTAGATAATTTAGCACAATTATAATTTTCTATTCAGAATGTTTCTAGCCTTCCCAATTAAGCTCAACTCTCTTTTTGGCCAAGGACCACACTTTTTATAGTACAACTAGAGGCCCAATGCACGAAATTTGTGCAAGGGCCTTGATCCCGTCCACCGCCCATTACAGCTTTGTCCAGAATGAAGGACTTCCAGAAGGACATCCGGTCTAATTAGCATATTACGTTTTTATTATTATAGAAGATCATAGGTCTGTAATGGCTGTTCAGTTAATACTTATTGATACAAATAATACTCTATCACAAGTAGATTTTAGAAATTATAAAAACCAGGAATCCTTTATAGGTATGGAAATTGTGGTTGCTTATGTTTATCCACATTTTTTAAATAACCAAGTAAATGGTTGAATTATTGGTATATATAGTTTCATAGAATTTGAATTGACTACCTAAAAGCCCACAGTGAAAGTCCAAAGCACTGTAACGAATCATCAGCCAAAAGAGGAAGAGGAATGCATGGGCTGCCTTGGTGCCAGATGTTGGAACTGATGGCCTGGAGTCACTATGGGCCACTTCAGGCCCAGTGATCACATGGGAAGAGCATGAACGCTGCTGTGCTTGTCTGCTCATCCACTTAGTCCATATTGGGATATAGAACTCCAGATGCCACATTGTGGGTCAGAAGAGAAATGTTTGTTTTTAAGTTAAGCCTGAATATGTTAGAAGGCTAAATAAAAATATTAAATTTTCCCATGAAGAATTAGGACTATAGGATAAAGTAATAACTGTGGAACTGATATTCTGGAGGAGGCAAGGAAGGATGTAGTCCAGAATACAGGGAGGGGGGTAGGGTAAATACTCCTTTTATAGAATAAATGTCTTCATAGAGATCTAGAGGGAGTGAAAATGTGAAATAAAGGAAGTATATGTGATGGAGCTTTGCCAGGTAATCTTTCTTAACTCTTCACATCTTTTTCTTTTCTTCAGCATGTGGACATAGCAGCATTATTGATAAAATACAACACATGTGTAAATGCAACAGATAAGTGGGCTTTTACTCCTCTTCATGAGGCAGCCCAAAAAGGAAGGACCCAGTTATGTGCCCTCCTCCTAGCGCATGGAGCAGATCCGACTATGAAGAACCAGGAAGGTCAGACACCCTTAGATCTGGCAACAGTAAGTCCTCATTTTAAAGTCCTCACGCTTGCTTTTTTTATACTCTTCAGAGATGACATTACATTGTAGGGCCTAGCAGGGCCATTAGTATTGAACTGCATGTTTCACTTAGAATAGGAACAGACTTCCTTCCTTCTGAAATTTTTTTAATTTGCTTTTTTTTTTTTTTAATATACTTTAAAACTCTGTTAAGAAAAACTAAGTAGTGTAAGCTAATGCAATTCTTTTTGACAAGTTTATCTTGGAGGGAAAAGATGAATCATAGAAAAATACATATTTAGAGTGTATTCTCAAAGAATTACACTCATAAAAGTATCTTAAGCCTTTTACATTAGGTGTATTACTCTAAAGCCGTGGTCAACAAACTGCAGCTCACGAGCCACATGTGGCTCTTTGGCCCCTTGAGTGTGGCTCTTCCACAAAATACCACAACCTGGGCGAGTCTATTTTGAAGAAGTGGCTTTAAAAGAAGTTTTAAGTTTAAAAAATCTGGCTCTCATAAGAAATTTCAATCGTTGTACTGTTGATATTTAGCTCTGTTGACTAATGAGTTTGCCGACCACTGCTCTAGAGCAACTGTTATTCATGATAATTTGCCTGAGGCTTTGGGATAGTTAGAAAAAATTTACTTCTGGACAATATATTATTCTTCTGAAGATAGAAAAATAAACTGATATATTGTAGAAATATTTTTAAAACTAAGAATTACTTTTTTGTGGTTAAATATTATGTAACTACAAGGTTAAAACATGCATTATCTTCCTGAAGTTTCTGAAAATCTGGGAGTTAATAATGGTCACAATAACTAACCATATTTTTAGGCCAAAAATACATTTCCAAGCCACATTTTGTTTCATGTATCTATTGCTAAGTAACAAATGATTTTAAAACACTTAGTAGCTTAACCAAAATTGAGTGAGTGGCTTCATACAGTGATTCTGTGGGCTGACTGGGTTCAGCGAGGTAGTTCTGTGCACTTACCTTACCGGGACCTCAGATAAAGCTGCAGTGTCCAGGATGACCTTGCATCCTACAGGGCCTCTCTGCGTGGTATGCAAACTTCTTTACAGCATGGAGGATGGCTTCTAAGGAAGGAAAAGTAGAAGCTGTCAGTCCTTTTAAATCCTGGCTCAGAGCCTCAGACCATCACTTCCTCTGCATTCTATTGCTCACAGCAGTTGATGGGCAAGCCAGATTCTGGAGAAGGGAAACAGACATACATACAGGGAGGGATGAACTGTCGGGCACATCCTCTGACAACAGTTATGGCAAAAAACTATAAAGTTCATTAAAAGCTAGCCAAATTAATGTACTGTTCCTCTAAAATTTCAGCAGATTTTAATTGTGCCTTAAATCGTGTGCACTAAATAGCTGAACAAAAACTGTTGTAGTTGCTTAAGTATAAACAAAACACAGTAAATAAATATGGAAACTAATTCTAAAGCAAAGATTTAAAATCAACACTCTACAATGCGCTTTTTAAAATGAAAGATGAAATATTTTTAATTCTTCACATCTTTATTAACTTGCATATCCTTTAAATACATGTGTAATCTGAACAATTGTGTGTACACTTTTCACTTAATGTTAAAAGTGTTTTCAGGAATCAACATAGTTCACATTCGTAGATATTTTTTTCTCATAGCTAACTCTTTTTTTTTTTTTTTTTTTTTTTTGCCAGAACACTTATTCTACTCTCAGCAAATTTCAAGTATATAATAGTGTTCTTAATTATAGTCTTCAAACTTTACATTCAATGCTCAAAAAATGAAATACTTTTTTAATTAATAGTTTCTCCAGTTCTACCTACTGAAACTATATAGTCTTCAGAGCTGTGGATGAGAGAAGGGAAGAAGAAGAAATGACTAAAAACAAATAGGAGATAATGAGGCATTTATTGGAGGGGGGGAAAATCACAATGTACTTTCGGCTTTAGTGAAAAGCTTACCACTTAAAAGTGTATATTTTTGTGTTTTTTTGTATCACTTTTAGGCTGACGATATCAGAGCTTTGCTGATTGATGCCATGCCCCCAGAGGCCTTACCTACCTGTTTTAAACCTCAGGCTACCGTAGTGAGTGCCTCTCTCATCTCACCAGCATCCACGCCCTCCTGCCTGTCCGCTGCCAGCAGCATAGATAACCTCACTGTCCCTTTAGCGGAATTGGCAGTAGGAGGGGCGTCCAATGCAGGGGATGGCGCAGCGGGCACAGAAAGGAAGGAAGGAGAAGGTGAGTATGCCCTGCGAATACTTATTTGGTTCTTGTTTTTTGTTTGTTTTATGTAACAGATTCCCTTTTTTTCTATTGGTAATCATTGCACACCTCACTTACAGATATCTTAACTCACTGTAGGTTTTCATATATACAGCAGCTTATGAGAAATATGTCTTCATAGAATGAATGTCTTGGCACCCACATTCTTACATGTTTATGTCTCAGTACATCAATTTCCAACCATAGTATTACTGAGTCTTATTATTGAATATATCAGGAAAAACAGATTATTTAAGGAATGAAACTAAACTGGTAGCTGATAACTTTGGAATTTTATATCAATAGTTGAATATTACACTAAAAGCATTATGTTATGCACTATAATATTAAAATTAATATAAATACTACTGATTTGATAAAGATAAACTACTTTTACTTATCAACAAAATTCAGAAATAACGAAGTATCTGAATGAAATTTAGGATTATTTTATGTTATGTAAAGATATCTGAACAGCCACCAGTGTTAGAGAGCCATGGCTTTAAAAAATACTAGAACTTCCTTTAGATTGATAAACTTTTTTCTGAAACTTTTTGTCTGTTTTAGTTGCGGGTCTTGACATGAATATCAGCCAATTTCTAAAAAGCCTGGGTCTTGAACACCTTCGGGACATCTTTGAAACAGAACAGGTAAGCTCTCTTGAGTCTTTTAATATTAAGTTATTTTTCACTCCTTTTTTTCTTCTAAACTGCTATTTTTATACCAATAAATTTCTAAGGAAGCCAGGAGAGATTCAGTATTTTATATCTCTCCCCAAAATAGTCTAACAGATTATGGGAGTCTTTCATTATTTGTCACTTCTATATAAGCAGTCTGGTTTAATATGTTTGATTACATGTCAAAACTTAGACCATGAAACCACCTTAAAAGAATTTTTTTTAAATCATTATTTTCTTTCCAAAAATTGTTGGCACTTATTCATCTCATTATGATGGGTTATTGTGAGACACAAATGAGGTAATTATTTTATGATTGGAGCTATATAATGAACAAATACTGTAATTTGCTTACCTGGTTTCTGCTTCTTCCAGAAAAGTACTATACATGTTAATTCAGAAAAGCTTAAACATTGTATGAATTAAAGCTACCACATAGATATTAAATCCTGTTTTTACATCATTCCTTATTTGAACTGAATTTAGAATATTTAGAAGGAAAACAGTGGGGTGTCAATAACGAAAACCTTGTGCATGGTTCCAAATTATGTTAAAATCCCATCTAGCTAAACATATAAAGGTTCCTACTATCATATATAATGAACTGTTTGTCTCAAAGATGTGTATTTTAGAACTGTTGCTTTTTAAAGGCTGCTGAAAACTTCCTTTGGGTGATTGGAAGTGAATTGCCCATTTTGTGCAGTGGAGCAATTATTTTTTAAATGACCATTTAGGAGCAATATAGCAAATTATTTCCAAAGACTGAGTGATGAATGCTTGTTGTACTGAGAAGATCAGACTCATTACATAATATTTCATTCTAACAAAAATCAAAAGAGCTCCAGGCCTAATTTGTCAGTCTTTTAAATGTTATGTACAAGTTGTAAAGGTAGAGAAGCTATGGAATGATAAAAAGTATCTCATTTGAGTTAAAAAAAGGGGTATCTGTAAAAAGATTTCTCAGTTTTCCAGTTTTTCTTTTTTGAAAGAAAAAATCAAAGGCTAATCTTGTGAAGTAGTAGTTGAATGGTCACAGAACCAGTTTTTTCTGAGCTGGAAAATTGCTTGTTCAGCCCTCAAGAAATGTGGTCAGCCATGAATTCATCCTGTACATTCAGAACCACGCTGCCACTCGATGGCGGTAGAGTCTGTCACAGTCAACCAAAGAATTAGGTAATTTTGGATCATCTACATTTATAAGGATTAATAACTAAAAATTAACAATAACTGTCTTGTACAAAAATAGAATGTATGTTAAGCTTCAGGAATTGTTAAATCTGAGAATTTATAAGAGAATTTAAGATCCATCAACTCTCATCTTCAAATTGGAATTCTTTACAGAACTTATATATAAAATGATCTATAGTCTAAATATTTATGATATAAATTTCACTACTTTGTAAGGCAGCCTTTTTTGTGTTTGAATATTTCTCAGCTCTGGGAATTCCTCCTTACTTTTTTTAAAATATATTTTATTGATTTTTGTACAGAGAGGAAGGGAGAGAGATACAGAGGTAGAAACATCGATGAAATAGAGTCATCGATCAGCTGCCTCTTGCACACCCCCCACTGGGGATGTACCCGCAACCAACGTAGATGCCCTTGACTGGAATCGAACCCGGGACCCTTCAGTCCCCAAGCCGACACTCTATCCATTGAGCCAAACCGGTTTCGGCTCCTCCTTACTTTTATATTAAGTCCTAATTACCTAATATGCTTACTCCTTTTTGCCACATTCTGTTCATTGTGCTAAACACCTCTCCATTTCCCCACCATTCACATTGGCTACCCATTTTCAGGCCTATTGTTTGTTCCCTCTTGTATCTTGAAGCAAGCAAAAGGTAGTGGTTTTTTAAATGAAAAGGAAATATAGAAATGATTATCTTTTATTTCTATAGCATTGTTTGTCCCATTTTAATTCTCCACTGGCTAAAAGCAATTAAGGAGTATTTAAAGTGAGCAGAAAGCTAATAAAATTATCAAGAAAACTTCAAGAAAATTTTAAGTTCATTCTTACAATGGAAACAAAAGAATTTTCTTAATTTGAATAGATATATAGATAGCATTGAAGACAAATGGAAGAATTTTCATCATCCGAGGAACTATTAAAGATTTATCAATTAATTTTGTTTCACTTTTCAGATTACCTTAGATGTATTGGCTGATATGGGTCATGAAGAGTTGAAAGAAATAGGTATCAATGCATATGGACACCGCCATAAACTAATCAAAGGAGTAGAAAGACTCTTAGGTGGACAACAAGGTAAGCTATTCAGAAAAAATTAATTTCAGGTATTTGTGGTAACAAGATAAATGTCAGGGCTGGCATCTGAACTCAGGTGGTCTGACCCCAGAGCTCATATGTTCGACTGCCTTCCCATCCCTGCTACTGGCTCTGCTCTCCCTCTAATTGCCTTAGTTGGAATTGAGTCAATTTTCCCTCACTCACAAACTTTATATCTTAAATGTCTCCAGAATCTACACTTTTATCCTTTTCCACTGCTGTGACCTAATCCAAGTCATCATCATCTCTCTTCTAGAATATCACAGCCACCTTCCAGCTTATCTTCAACCTTCACCTTCTCCTCCCTTCTGTACCTTCCCTGAAATGTTACCAGGAGACTCCTTTCAACATGACTTGGGGTCATATCATTTCATTGCTTAAAACTCTTCAACAGAATCCTGTTACTTTTAGGATAAAGTCAGACATTTACAACATGACTTTTCATAATCTGACCTCTTTTTCCTCACCTTGAACCTTTCTTCCTCCCTTATACTTGTCAGCTCTGTCTTTTGCCATCACACTTTGCTGTTGCAAGCCTCCTATCTTTGTTCTTTGTATTCCTCTGTGTTTATCATTTCTCTGTTTGTTAGAAGTGCTTTCGCTATAGAAAGCAAGAGGAGAAAAAATAAATAATTGGAATTAGTCAGTTAGTTTCAGAGCTCATACAATTGCAAGAATGACATGAAACTAAATGTTAGCGATTTTGATCTTGAGTCATTTTTATTTATCTATTAAAGGAACAAGGATAATGAAATTAATAATAATAATGTATTTTAAACTTACTATGAGTGACCATTTGAAACCATCTCACAGAGTTCTTAGAAAAGGATAATTTTATATTTTAGACCTGAATACATTATAATTACAATGTGTTTCTCTTTTGTATCAAACATAACTTCATGAATGTTCATGATTAAATTTAATTAGACAAGTAATTGTTGAACCCTGCTGTGTGTACTAGGGACTCTTTAAGAACAGATAAAATTGATGCTCAAACATATCTCCATTATTTCACATGTCTTTGGATGTACTTGATTTATATATCAATAATTATACATATTAGGTTCAAAATGCAAATAGTTTAGACTTCTTTTAAAATATCAATTACTTATGACAAAGTCTTCCCTAAAATAGAACCTGCATAGTGTGGACTCCTGTTAACTATGTTAACTTTTTTTTTTTTACCTGCAGGCACCAACCCTTATTTGACTTTTCACTGTGTTAATCAGGGAACTATTTTGCTGGATCTTGCTCCAGAGGATAAGGAATATCAGTCAGTAGAAGAAGAGGTAATGTACATCAGAATTTTTAGTTATCTTTTCCTGAAACCTATTTTTCCAGGAGATTAGGTAAGCTTGTCTCACTTTGACTTACACTTGCCTATGAATTATTCTGTCTTCCTTAGCCATTGTGGAGGAATATTGCCAAAATAAGAATAGGACTATGGATTAGAATTCTGCCACATGGCTTCACATTGTGAGCTTAGGGTTTCCAGTGGATGGTTCTGATCTGTCTTTTTATTCTGTAGACTTTCTTGAAACCCATGTAAGTAAGGACCCTGTTAGGACTACATATATATATATATATATATAATTTATATATATATATATATATATATATATATATATATATATGAATTTTATTTATTTATTTTTTGTTGTTGAAATGCTACCTAAAAATAATATGGAGTAAGGAAGGATCTTGCCTCCTAGATAGCAAATATCTTTTCAACTTTATTTTTATGAAGTGTTACAGAACATGATTATAAAATAATATGCCTAATTTTCACATATACATAGAAAGTATGCCTCATGACTGAAGTCACCTTTCCTTTCTTCAATCACAATGATTTTAGTAAGGCAGTTTGTCCGAACCTACTGGTAGAAGGGTGCCATAGAGATTCCCTTTCTACCAATGGCTTCTGCCTTGCTCTGACACAGAATAAACAAGGTGCCTAACACCATTATTTTGTATGGAAAGTCAAGCCTACATTTTTGTGTTTTTTCTTCTTTTTAATTAGTGCTTTTATTATTCCCGTTCCGGAAACTCAGGGCAGTTACCTTAGGCTAGTATTTCAGCTCATCCTTGAGCCAGTTTTTCAGGAGAGTGTTATGTTTCCTAGTGTCTTATTGCCTAATCTCCTAGTAGTTAATAAATTCTGCTAATAATATCAAAATGTGGTAAATAACTTCAGAAATGGAGTGGTGAGTTAGAGCATTAACTCTTTGAGTTGGTTCTATAAGAAATTTAGGTGTTCAAAACATTTTACTTTTCTATAATAATTCTTTTTAATTTGGAAAATGGAAGAAGGATGGGTAGTGTTGAGAAGAAAGTTATTCCACTTAGTTACATGTGATATTCAACTTCCACTGGTCTGTAGAATATGAAATATTTCAACTAAGAAACAAAAATTATTGATTTCTACAAAATTCTTAGTTTATTTTTAGTATTTACTGTATAATAGTAAAATATTAATAGAATATGAGTTTTAGTTAGACTTAGTCACAATGTTGCTTCCATTCTCAATAACATTAAATAGTCATGTAGGTGACTTAATGCGATGTTTTGTTTCTCCCTTACGTTTACTGAAAAATCTTTCAAAGTTTTTATTTAAAAAGGAAAAGAAAATGTAGCTGTTTAATATTTATGTTTATGATTATTTTCTCACAAGAAATACTTATATATTAAACTTGTTGATCAATTTACTATAGTGGACTCATTTATTTGTAAGGCTAAATGTTGAAGAAATGTAATAGAAGTTGACAACAGAAAGAGTATCTTTAGAATATACCCTGGCATATTTTTAAAAGTTATTTTATTCTGTAGATGCAGAGTACAATTCGAGAACACAGAGATGGCGGTAATGCTGGCGGCATCTTCAATAGATACAATGTCATTCGAGTAAGTTTTTAAAATTTCAGGATGGAAATTGGATTGCAAGGCTTTCGGAAAAGCAAATATAAACATATATTTGGTTTTCAAAGTCATGTTTTCAAATCAAGGATGATCATTCACCAGTTTCCCTGCAATCACGTGTCACCCTCCTCACTACGATACAATCTTAACCCTCATTAGAAGTCGAGACACCCAGGAAACATCAAAGGTACACACTCAAGGCTAGGTTAGCTGGTATTAGTGATGCTGATATAGTGACTCGACTCCCTGCTCATCCATCAATTCAGACCATAGCTGACAATCATTTTTATCATCATTTCAAAGTAGCAATAAAGGTCTGGATTTTCCCATCTAATTGAGTCAGTGATTATATCAGAATGCATATATCTCCTCATCTCAGTTCCTTAATTAATAATATGGAATAAATGACTGCTATATGCTTTTTTCCAAAGTGATATCATGAAGATGAATAAAGCCTGTTGAGAATCGATTTAATCCTTAGGGTTAATAGACCTCTGGAAGTTATATCAGTCTCATCAGAATTACTCGGGGAGCTTTTTGCAAAATACATATTGACAGGCCCCTGTATCCTGACATTCAATAAGTCTGGGGAGAAGTCTAGAAATAATCTCTTCCCTCCTCCTCCTTTTTTTTTTTTTTTTTTTTAAGTATTACAGATATGCCCTTTTCCTCCTTTCATTTTTTCTTTCTTTTCTCCACCTCTTCCTCAGGTAGCTCTGAGGTACAGCCAGGTCTAGTGCAGAATAACAAACAAAAACCATACCTGAAAATTATGTCACTAAATAAGCCCAGAGTCATAGAAGCATGAGCAGACTGTTGAACCTCAGAGGGAAGGCAAAGGAGGGTGGGTGGGAAGAGATCAATCAATGAATTTGTATGCATAACCTGTGGACACAGACAATTAAGGGCCTATGCAGGGAAGAGCAAGCTTAAGAGGTTAATGGGGGGTTGGGGAGGAGGACCAATGTAATACTTTCAACAATAAAGATTTTTTTTTTTAAAGTATTTAAACCAGGTTATCAACTGAATTACACTAACCTGGCATCTTTATCACCTTATATAATAAAGAGCTAATATGCTAATTAGACCAAGTAGCACAACAACCATCTGGAAGACCTTCCGGATTACCTTCTGGATGAAGCCGGGGCTGCAAGGGCCAAGCCCCTTACACTAATTTTGTATATCAGGCCTCTAGTTTTTTAATGATGTTGTAAGCAAACAAAACAAAAATTGGACCTTCCTCTAGAAAAACATACTTTTAATTGAAATCATAAACTGCCAATTAATGTACATTACACTCAATGGCTTTTTTCTTCCGTATCCTTAAAGATTCAAAAAGTTGTCAACAAGAAATTGAGGGAACGATTCTGTCACAGACAAAAGGAAGTGTCTGAAGAGAATCACAACCATCACAATGAGCGCATGTTATTTCATGGTGAGTACCACGCCAGTAATTATATCCCTCGGGCTTTCACAGATCCCAGCAGAATGAAAAGCCTATGTTACTGACTATATTCATCTTATGTTAAAAACTAGCGGCCCAGTGCACGAAATTTGTGCATTGGCAGGGGATAGGGTGTCCTTCAGCCCAGCCTGTCCCCTCACAGACTGGGAGCCCTCAGGGGATGTCCTACTGACAGCTTAGACCCACTGCCCGTGGGGCGCAGTCTGGCCTCCCTCTGTGGGAGGCAACTGGGCTGACCAGGGGAACACGCCAGCCCCACCACCCCGCCACTGCGGCCACTGCCAGTCCCCGCAGCCACCAAGGTGTTTCCATCAACATCTTTGCTTGGTGAGCACCAGGGGTCCTTGATAAGATTCTAGTACAGGATAATTTATGTATAATAGACATCTTACAAAATAAGCTTTTTACTTACGTATTATTAACAATGTAATATTAATCTGCCAAGTTTAAATAATATGTAACTAATTGATACTTTAGAAAAGAATCCAAAAACTAATTTTACTATCTTTATACTTTTAGGTTCTCCTTTTATTAATGCCATTATTCATAAAGGGTTTGATGAGCGACATGCATACATAGGAGGGATGTTTGGAGCTGGGATTTATTTTGCTGAAAACTCCTCTAAAAGCAACCAGTATGTTTATGGGATTGGAGGAGGAACAGGCTGCCCCACGCACAAAGATCGGTCATGTTATATATGTCACAGGTGAGCATCTTGGCTTTCATGGAATGGTTGCTGTCCTCAGGTCCTGAACACTTTCTCAGGCTATGCAGAAGCCACAGTTATTCTCAGTCTTAGTCTTAATGAGTCAGACAGGTTGGAAATTGGGTAGGTATAGTTGGATCAGCCAACCCTAAGAGGAGCAATGATAACGGGGCTGATATTAATGGTGATAAAACCAGATATAGGTCAACCAATCATAGATTTCAATGAACCTCCCTCCATCTTGGCTGCTTCTTCCTTGGGCTTCACATTTCTTGCTTCAGAATCAACAAGAAAAGGGTCAGAATTATTTCTTTAGGACGAAGAACCTGGAGCTCTGACTAGAAAGTCATGTTGAACTAAGACACACAACTTCTATAATCAAGTAGAACTTTTAATGTGCTTCTGATATTGCTAGTAATGTCTTAATGCAGGATATATAATTGGCCTTTAAAAGTCCAACTTTAGAATATTAACTTTGGGAACTATTAAACAAATGAATATTAACTTTTTAAATAGGACTTTAAAGCTCAGAAATTGGAGAGAATAATAGTATACTCCCTCTAAAACCAATGAAAAAAAATTTTCCTTCTCTATTCCCTTCTCTACCCCCTTCCTTGCCAATAGAAAATATACAAGGAATTGTACTTTACAGAGATTGCAGTTTGTTACATTTCTCTTTAAAGTAATCAAATATATTTATTTTTGCAAAATTGGGTTAATAAGAAATCTTGTAATTCAGTTAAAACCTCAAAAAAGACCCATATAACCTTGAAATTCATTATAATTGTTGACTTTAAAACATACCACTTTCCGTTACATTGAAACAAATTGTAGTGGTCAGCAGTTCTAAGATGGATGCCATATATACAGAAACAAATTTCTTTTCGTTAGTCTGCTGTGATTGGTAACACACAAAATTTCCCAAGAATACTTGACACGCAAAAGTTTCTCTTTGTTGCTTCAAACCTAACTCTTCTGGAACCAAAATAAACTATAAAAGTGAACTTAGACTCTTAACTTGTTTAGCTCAATGGATAGAGCATTGGCTTGCAGACAGAAGGGTCCCAGGTTTGATTCCAGTCAAGGGCATGTGTCCAGATTGCAGACTTGATCCCCAATAGGGGGCGTGCAAGAGCCAATCAATGATTCTCATCATTAATGTTTCTATCTCCTTTCCTCTCTGAAATAAATAAAAATGCTTAAAAAAAAAAAAGTGAACCTAGATGAGGATGAACCTTCATTCATTAAAATTAGAAACACGGGCCGAAACCAGTTTGGCTCAGTGGATAGAGCGTCGGCCTGAGGACCGGAAGGTCCCGGGTTCAATTCCGGTCAAGGGCACGTACCTTGGTTGTGGGCACTTCCCCAGTGGGGGGTGTGCAAGAGGCAGCTGGTCGATGTTTCTCTCTCAACAACGTTTCTAAATCTCTATGCCTCTCAATAAAATATATATATTTTTTAAAAGCATTCATTTAAAAAAATAATAATAATTAAAAAAATAAAATTAGAAACACGGTTTTTGCCTTAGCCAGCATTCCCTAGAAGCAGCCTGAAGCGAAAGTTTATTCGCCAGCATTTTCTTGGAAGTGCAATCCCAGGGAAGCAGGAAGTGAGGTCCAGGAGGAGGCAGTACAGACAGGCTCATTGGGAGCTGGGCACAGTTTCAGGACGAGTGCAATTGGTTGCTCAGGCCAGGAGACATCTTCAGAGAAGCCATATGAACTAAAACATCTCAGAATAGAACATTGTGGGAAAAGATAAATTTATATGCTGGCTCCTGTCTTGCCTGGGTCAGCATTCGCTCCACAGGCCTTTGGTAATTCCTTCAAGCCTCATTTTGGGTTGCTGCATCTGTGGAATGCAGGACAATGCACAAGGCAAGCAGGTGAGCAGGCTGGAGCCATTACTCCCACCTGTGCACTACCTCCTGCAGCCCAGTGGGCCGCTGGGCAGACCCTGCTGCTTTTCCTACCTCTGCAGCAAAGTGAGGCTTTGGGGCAGGAAGCAGAAGGTAGGAAGCAAGCCTGTCAGGTCAGGCTTTGTGTGACATATGGACTGGGTGTGGCCATGGCACTGGGCCCAGCTGGCCTAGTGGGCAGAGCCCAGCGATACCATGATGCCGCCATAATGTGGGTATGGAGCTCAGAAAGCCTCCCTCTCGTGGTGAAAACCCTTTCTCTGGGTCCAAGAAAATGCAGTTGCAACCAAGCCAGCATCCCAGAGGGTCATCAGTGGCATCACACTAAAACAGCCAGCCTAGGAAGAACCCAGTTATACTAAGTATGGCACAATGTTTAATTGGCTGAAAGTAATATCTCTGAGCAGTCATGTTGCAAAGATCAGACTTCTTTACTAAAAAACTATTTGAAGGATAACTACCGTGTTTCCCCGAAAATAAGACATCCCCTGAAAATAAGACCTAGTGCAACTTTGGGAGAAAAAATTAATATAAGACACTGTCTTATTTTTGGGGAAACAGGGTACTTATATTTAACAGTGTGACCAACCTTACTGTTTAGTTTATACATGGTTTATATTAAGTGTTGGTAGACTTTAATGGGCCACATATGATTTCTATCACAATGACTCAACTCTGCCCTTATAGTGCAAAAGCAGCCGTAGACAATATGTAAATGAGTGTGTGGCTGTGATCCAATAAAATTTCATTTATAAAAACAGGTGGCCGACTGAATTTGCCGCATGGGTCATGTTTGCCGGCCTTTCTTCTCCTCTATAATATTTAACATCTGCTCCAATTAATGTTTTGCCCAGATAGTGTAATTGTCAGCCTTGTGTTTAAGCAAGTATTATTTTTAATATGAACCACTCTTACTATTATTTTTTTTAAATGTATTTTATTGATTTTTTACAGAGAGGAAGGGAGAGAGATAGAAAGCTAGAAACATCGATGAGAGAGAGACATCGACCAGCTGCCTCTTGCACACCCCCTACTGGGGATATGCCCTTGACCGGAATCGAACCTGGGACCTTTCAGTCCGCAGACCGACGCTCTACCACTGAGCCAAACCAGTTTTGGCCACTCTTTCTATTATTTATCTCATCCAAGTTTTTACTTTTTCACAATGAGTAAAACCATATCTTAACTTCAGTTGCTGCTGCCATTTGCTGATTTACTTTACTTTATTCCTACCATTCCATACAAGCACTTGGTTTTCACTAGTATTTTTCCTTTTCCACTAGTTAAAACAAGCCAGGTATTTTTTATGGTTGATTTCTAAACCACACCAAAACTGCTTTAAACTTAAAGGGTAACTATTGAGCCTACTCTTTATGACAAATCAGTGTGTCAAATCCATCCTTTTTCTACTCATAAATATGAAAGGGCATTTAAGTTTTGTTGTCTTGTGTTAGAATTTTTTTTAAATCAATAAACCTAACAATTATATTTCAGGATTTAAAGCTTCCTTCAAGGCATTGCTTTCATCTTTCCTTTAGACAAATGCTTTTCTGTCGAGTGACCCTTGGAAAATCCTTTCTGCAATTCAGCACCATGAAAATGGCTCATGCCCCTCCAGGACATCACTCAGTCATTGGGAGACCAAGTGTGAATGGGCTGGCATACGCCGAATACGTCATCTACAGAGGAGAACAGGTATGTTCCTCATCAGATGAGCTTACAGTTCTTAAAAATGACAATACAGTATATTTAGACCAGGTAAGAGTTAAAGAAAGCCATTTAGTAAAACACCTACCTCATAGTCTGATAGCATTAATTGCTTCAAATCATGAATGAAGATATCAAAATTCTTTTGGCATCAGCTTTACACACAGAACCCATCAGTCACCTGTCAGCCAAGTAACATTGTGAACAAGAGGGCAGAATAGGAACAAGGTGAGCCTGGTACATCTGGAATGCCAGAAAGTAATGAAGTACTCAAAAAAATCATGGGGCCCTAGCCAGTTTGGCTCAGTGGATAGAAGGTCAGCCCGTGGACTTGAAGGGCCCGGGGTTTGATTCCTGTCACAGGCACATGCCCAGATTGCAGGCTCGATCCCCAGTAGATCAGGCAAGAATCATCGATGGATGCTAAATCTAGGGGATTTTAACCAGGAGAAGGATACCTACATGGTCTTTAATTAGAAAAGAGAAAAAAATCAGATATTTTTCTTCATTGGTGCCCATTATTCAGTCGTCCCACCTCCTCTTTACCCTGCCCCAGGATAAAATTTAAATTCCCCTCGGGGGAGGGGGGGTGCAATACCTGACCAGATCACAGTTAACATCACCAATGAGGGACAGATAGACAGAGTGTGCTTCTTTCTAGGTGTGACATTCTGAGATGGGCACATCATTCATGCAGTATTCCAGCCAAAAATGCATAACCTCATCTAATCAAAATGAGGAGTGTTCTATTAATAAAAAATGTTGAAGACTGATTCTTCAAAAACATCAGTGTTATAAAAGACAAAGAAAGGCTTTGAAAACTTTCCAGATTAAATGAAACCTAAGAGACAGAACAACTAACTTAATGTTCTGTCCCCAAATTAGATCAAAATTGGAATGTGAGTGGTAGATAGAAGTCTAGCAATATAAAATTGTTTTTTGTCTTTTTAAGTTTACCTTTATTATTAAAAGTATTACAGTTATCCCTTTTTTTTTTTTCATTGATCCCTCCAGCCAGCTCCCCGCCCCAGGCCTTCACCACACCATTGCCCATGCCCATGGGTTATATATATATGTATACAAGTTCTTTGGTTAATTCATCCCACCCATCCCCAGCTATATAAGAGAATATCTCTCTTAGGGAATAAATACTGGCTTACTTAGGGATAAAGAACCGTGAAAATATATATATATATTACTTACTCTCAAATGGTTCAGGAAAAAAAAAAATGTGTCTGTGTATCTGTCTGTCTACCTGGTATATACAGAGATAGGAGGAGGTGTACATAATAAAGCATTAGGGATATATAAAACCATGACAATAAATGGATATGGGTAAAGGGTATACAGTTGTTTGGGGTACCATTTTCATTTTTGCAACTTAATGTGTAAGTTTGCGGTTGTTTCCAAATAAAAAGGTTTTTTGTTTTTGTTTTTTAATTACAAACTGATTTACTTTTTTTTTTCTTGATTAATTTTTTTTTAATATTTTTGTTGTTGTTGATTATGTTCTTACATAAGTGTCCTTATTTCCCCATTCCCATCCCAAACCCCTCCCTAGATATGCCCCCCCCCCCCCCATTGTCCATGGCCACTGGCTAGACCCATATGTATGCACACAAGTCCTTTGGTTGATCTCTTCCCCTTACCCCCATCCCCCCTTATTTTCCCTCTGAGGTTTGAGTCTGATCGCTGATTCTCTTTCTCTGGGTCTGTTTGTGTTGTTCATTATTTCCTCTAGATGTGTGAGACCAAATAAAAAGGTTTAAAAGCTACCAAAGATTAAGTTTATCAAAGTTTTGTTTATTAGAAACTCCAGACTTCTAGAGAAAATACGTTCACTTTGACTCAGTAATTCCAATTCTAAAAATTCTTATTAATATAATCAGTGATGGTCACAAAAAACCTGTGGTGCCCATCACTGTCTAATCACAATGAAAAATGTAAACCTAAAAATTCAACAAAAATAAAATGATTTCATAAATGTGATTATATTTTTATGCCTATGACTTTAAAAAATGCATTTGTGTGACAGATATAAATAAGTAATTTCAGTTTTATTTCACCATATGCTTTTCAGAATTTTATGTTATTAGTGTAAATATCATTTCTTTCATATTTGGATGGCTTTAAAATTATCTTCAAACTGTCGCCTGTACATTGGTGACTCAACATATCTCCCCCTTTCTCCTTATAAATCAGTGGGTTACATCATCTGTGATGAATTTGAAATTGGTTCAGCAGAGTTGTTCTTTCATCTAACAAACTTGTATATAACACATGTTCTGTTGAGCACTGTGCTAGGTAAGGTGAGCAGGGGTTTTCTTATTTAGGCGCCTGGCTCTCTAATGAGGGAGGAGTGCAGTGTAACCAATGCACAGTATTCAAACACACATATCATCTTAGTCATTGCTAGATTGTAGGCTTTGTATGCTTATATGCAGATATATACCGTATTTTTCGGACCATAAGACTCACCGGACCATAAGACGCACCAGTTTTTAGAGAAGGGAAATGAAGAAAAAAGATTCTGAAACAAATAGTGTCCTAAAATATTTTTTGTGCATTAAAACGCAACATCACAGTCATAAACACATGTAATCAACCCTGTAAAGTAAACAGCAGCATTTAGAACCATTTTAGAGCTGGGCAAGCACACAGAGACCACACAGAGCCGGGCAAGTAAAAAAAAATTTTTTTTTTAAAGTGTATGTGTAGGCTATATTTGGACCATAAGACACAGGGACTTTTTCCCCCCACTTCTGGGGGGGAAAAAGTGCGTCTTATGGTCCGAAAAATACGGTAGGTGGATCTCCTCTTTCTGGCACCTGTTAATGGGATGGCCTTTGTAGACCTTGAGCATATGCAATAGAATATTGGTTTGGATCTGCAACCTCTGAGGCTTGCACATCAAGTAAGGCTTTACTACTGTAGCTGCCAAAAGGGTGACCTTTTTCCTTCCTGTCCTTCAGGCATACCCAGAGTATCTCATCACGTACCAGATCATGAAGCCGGAAGCTCCTTCACAGACTGCAACCGCCGCAGAGCAGAAGACCTAGTGAATGCCCACTGGTAAAGCCAGATCAAATTTAAGCCTAGGACTGGACTCGAATGGACTCTTTCCAACAAAACCAACATTCTATAAATCCCTGACAGCCTAGGAAAGCTGTTTGTCATTACGAAGCATTGCTATAGTGATGGATATAGTATGAGTAACTGATACATACTCAACTGCTGCTGTTCCCTTTGAGGAAATGTTTACAGGGGCGGCCTTTTAATATAACTCAGGCTCACTTTCATTGCAGTTATCCATTCCTAAAATAAGATTGCTTTGATCTAGACTTGGAAATGGAAAAAAAAGAAAACATAAACAGTACGTTCCCAAATGTTCACAATTTACACACTACATTTGCTTTGTTATATATGCCTTTTATATAACAAGTACGCATACCCGGGCTCACTCTTAGTTTTTTCTAAACAGGCGTCATTGGCTTTTTTTTTTTTTGCTTTTTTTTTTTTTTGATAATGAGCTGGAGCCTTCTTGATGATATTTTGCACAAAGTCTCACTGACTAAATCATTAGCCATGCAACCTAAGCTTCTGGCTGAGCAAGACTAGTCTCCATTTTTTTTTTTTCCACTTTGATTTATATGTGTATTTCTTATAAACATGAATTAAGATGGAAAGGGAAGATATCAGGTTTCAGTCCTTTTATTGATTGGCCAGTCTTACAAGAGAAAGGCACAAGCATCAGCCTGGCTTGGAGCTCCCAATGTGAAAGAAGCAGAGGATGAGAGCCTGCTGTCTCCGGTACAAGCCTGCCTCAGAGGCATCAAGACCTGCTGGGGCCCAACGGAGCCAGGGATGGGGGTGCTGCCACCAAGCCTGGAGGTGAGACAACCAGGGAGGGCTGGGAAGAAGCCGCTTCCTGCGAGGAGCCTGTGGTTCTGTGCTGGTGAAGCAGAAGGGGACTGCGGGGACGCCTCAAAGAAAAAAATCCTCGTCATTTAATCCGCCAGAATCGTCCCAGAACAGCTGCCTTACCCAAATTCAGTCAAAATGTACTTCATTGGAGTCACAGAAATATCACTTACTGTTTCTCTCTGTTGAAAGCTAGTGTTTAAGTCCTATTTAGCAGATAAATAGGCACAAATGCAAGGACTTCTTAGTTTACTCAAGATTTGGCGCTTATTTTGAGTGAGGTTCTTCAGATAGTCTAGATAGGTCCCTGCACTAAATTTTAGAATGGTATCTTCAAGCATCTGAGTAGACAAGAACAAAAACTTGAAACCAAAGCGCTTTCAGTTATTTTCTTAATGAAGATGGAGAAATGCCATGCTGTTACTTCATGAAGTTACTACTTTGTTTAGCTTGTTTAATCAGCATTTGCTAAATGCAGACACTTGTAAAAAATTAGTGCAGTTCTTACGCGTGCCCTTTTCACTTAACTGAACATCAAATAAGTGCATTGGTTTATTACTTTCACATGCTGTGCACCTACTCGGCTTTGAAGCAAAGTAATATGTGGTAAAGAAAAGGAGAAATAGGATGGCACAAACTTGCCATTCCAACTTGAAGTCCTGAAAACTAATTTGTTTTTTAATGCAGGCTGATTTAGCTGTGACCTCATTTAATCACCTGAAGCAAAATAAAATAGTTACATGCAAAGTTCCTAGAATAGGCTCTTAAAATATACATTTCACTTTCTCTCTGGCTTGAATCCGTTGCTAGAACTAGGCACTGGGCATTAGTTTGAGTTTTCTAGCTCAAAATTAAATCAAGAATTAGCCTCCGTTTTTTGCTTCTGATGAAGTGTCAGTGGCCAGGCTGGGTGTGTGTGTCTCCGCTCCTTGTGTAATATCACTAGAATTCCATAGGGAGCTTTGAAGTTTGATATTCATTAAGAGGGCTGTCTCCCCCTTTCCTTCTGTTTTGCTGTGTAACAGTGGGTTGGTGAAATTGGCATCCGTGTAGTTTTCAGTGGCTGTGAAAGTGTATATTATCTCCCTTCTTAGACTTAGTTTAAAATGGTAAACAAAGCTGTGATTTTTAGTTAAGTAAAAGGGTTAATATGGTATAGATACCAAAAGCTTTATAGCTTTTCAAAAAAGATAGGCCACTATACGACTATGGTTGTATGTCATTTCCATCATGCTAACTGGATTAATGGATGTGCCAGTTTTAAACTTCAACCTTACACTTGAGAAGTCAAACTGTGGTTCAGTATTTAAACTGCCGATGTTATATATCGTCCATTCTGTGTGCTGAGTAAAGGTGCCGTGTAAGGGAGACATTCGCAGTGCTTCTTGTCTTATAATGATTCAAGTATATAGTAGTTCTTGGAAGAAGGGTACATATTATTCATCTGCTAAAGAGAATGGGTTCATTAACATCTCACAAGAACCAAGTACATGTCTTCAAAACTTGGAAACCAAAGGTCATCATGAGTGTACTCAAATTAGCAAGTCAGTTACATTTGGGATTCCCATCCAAAGCAGTGTAAAAACCCTTTGGAGTGTAAAAGCATGGCATTGAACTAGGCTGAAGTCCACTTAGGTTCGTGTATACGTGCATACTCTACAGAAACACTAGCAAGTTGAGGACTTCCAACATGGCCTCCCCTGAACCGGCCGCTCTGTTACCCAAACTGAATGAGAGGGAGAATCTGGACACCATTAGCCCTACTGCAGTGCTGACATCAGTTCTAGGCATGGCCAGCCTGGATGCTTGAGGCAGACAAGTGCTCTGTACTGGACTCTTTCTCCTATTTGGCCTCCCCTTTCCCCAGGCTGCTAGTCTGGAATTATAGATAGCGCCAGCAATTACCTTTGACTCCACTCATTTTCCTATCTTCATTTTGAATCTTGCAAAAGGAGACTGTACCTTTCTGTTTCCATATCACACCCAGACCCAGGTGTTCGGCCTGCTGCTTCGCTAAACAAGTGATAGTGTGGAGCCCAGAGTTTTAGTCCTCTGCAAAATAACACCCGTACAACCAGGATTGTTACTTACCTTCTCCTTCTTGGAATTTAGTTTCTAGCTTTTCAATAGCAAGTAGAATAAACATCATTAGGATGTTTCCATGAACCAGCATCCTTGTGTTCTTTGGAGCTTGATGTTAATTTCTCTTTGCTCTCAGTGCATTGATAGACATTGAGAAATGCCTGAATGTGGCAAATAAAGTAATATAGATTAATATGCTATTATTATAGCCTTTATTCAGAAAAACAAACCTTGGTGTACTCTGAAAGAACAGCGTGAGAATGCAGAGAGCTGGCTAGGTTTTTCTGTTTCAGTACATCTCCCAATTGCACAATGGTTATTGGATGTCATGCACCTTCTTTTTAAACATGTGCATTCTCTGGGTTTCTGTAAACTCTTTGAAACAGGAATGGTGAGTATTTTTAAACACCTTTCTCCAGTGTGTCCAGACCCCATTTGTGTGATAATCTGCCTTTTTACCAAAAAATGCCCATAGCATGAGTTTTCTTTTGGGCTAATAATATATTGCATAGTGAAAGAGATTTTAATCATTCAGGGAATACTAAAAACTGACATTAATACAGGGTTTCGTGTGTCAGAAATTTATTTCAAGACTAAAGTTAAACTTGTCTGATATCAAGACAGGAATGAAAAGAAAGTAATTGTGAAGATAATGTTTAGCTTTGGTTGGGCACATCTAGTATAGGACAAGGAAATGCTTTTTTTTTCTTTTTTAAACTGCCCTTAAAGGTGAAGCTTCTTTAGACACTTTGTGGGTTCTGAAATTAATACACAATTAAATATTTCTTAAGAAAGCCTTAACTATGGCATAAACTTTTGAGCCTTTTATAGCCTAATAAAAAGTTGGAATTCCGTTTCTTGGTGTTTGGAGGGTATCAGTGAGCCAGGTATGTCTCTGTATCTCACACCTGTTAGGCATGTTTGATGAGGGTATGTTTCATAGGTCATGCTCCCTTCCATGCAGAGAGCTGATAGAATCAGCCCATTTTCCTTTCTTTATGTCTGAAACCCTCCGTTTGCCAAATCATCTTGTTTGGAGAAATGTAGAAAGATTTCAGAACTTGCTAAGTTTTGTGTATGTGGGGAATACAGCAACAACTCACAAGCGATACCTTGTAGAATTTCAGTGTTGACCAGGCTGTTTTTCAATCATCTTCAAATAAAAAGCATGGGGATGCGTGAAAGCAGTAGGAAGTTAAAGATTTCCTATACTTTCTAAAACCAGATATACTTGTGTGTGACGGTTCTGTGCATCTGCCGTGGGTCTGCCTCTTTTGAAACAGCATTCACACTGGAGAGATGGCTGCATTTTGGCTCTTCGTTCTCTTATATTTTCTGTTTCACACTTTCACATCTCCACACCCCACCCTGCTATCCATCTTTTCAAACGGATTTCTTGTTCTCCAGAACTCAAATTGTTTTGTTATTATTATTTTTTAATCTGTCTGCCTATTTCTGCAGACAACCCTCAAAGTATTTGCAGAGAAATGCAGTTCAACTCTGAGAGTGGAGTCCCTTACCACACACACTCCTTGCCCCTCCCACGGTTCAGGATAAAAAAGCTGGAAAACACAACAGTAAAAGTTAGAAAGGAACCAAAACCTGTCAGGCTAACAGCCTAGAGCTAGAAGATGACCTTGATTATATAACCCTTGTATTCATTACACAAAATATTTAAACTCTTCATGTGCATATATGCCTGCTTCTGCTTCCATTGTTTCAAGCTCATCCTGTCTTTGTGATAGTAGTGTTTGTCTTTGATGCCTACAGACTTAAAAGGTACTTTTTCAACAAGGTTTCTCAAAAACATTTACAAAATCAGCTGGGAGGAAATCTACAATGCTTCCGGCAACCGCAGTTAGCATAGTACGTGAGTACGTGTGTTTTCTCCTCGTGTCGTGGTCTGTGTGGTACCAGTGTAGTGACTCTGGTTCCCTGTTGGTGTAGTTTTATTTTGTCTCTGTGTGACCCACTGTGGCAAGGGTTTCGGTCCCCTCCCCTTTCTTTCCTGCGTTTGTCTATCTGTAGGATTGCCAGAGAGAATACAAGACATCCAGTTAAATTTGTATTTCAGGTAAATAATTGTTTAGCTTACCTATGTTTGGTGCATTACTTGCTACTTATTTACAGTAAAGATATTCTTTATTATTTACTTGAAATTCAAATTTAACTGAGCAGCCTGGTTTTTTTCTTTGTTGTGTTTTCTTTTACTAAGTCTGGCAACCCTATGGATTTGGTCACAGAAGATGGCTTACAGCATGTAATTTTTCTAGCCTTCACTTTCTTTCACGTAGAATGAAAGACCTTTTCTCCGTCTCCCTCTCCTTTCCAGAAGAGGGCAGCGAGGAGCTAGCCTGCCTGCGTGGTGGGTTCCTATTTAAGGCATCTTTATGATTATATTTAACCTGTAATTGTGCTTTGGCTACATGTCTAACTTCCAGTACTTGTAATTGTTTAATATTCAATAAAAACATTTTTCAAATATCCTGTATGTGGACAGCAGTTAGCTCTGGAGTGTTTTCATTTCCCTGTCTGCTCATTTCAGCCTGGCCAACCTTAACACAACTGACTTCAAACTGCCTGAACCCAAACAGCCTTTTTTCCTCCTCACTTTCTAGTGTGTTCCATGCTGGGAGCACCTCATCCTCACCTCTGAGTGCATATGGGAGTGACAGACATTCAGGACCGCAGGAGAAGCACATGTTGCTTTTAGAGATGTCTCTGCAACAGAGGCATCTGCCCCAGCCACACCTCGCACCAGTGAACAGGGTGGACCAGAGGCCCTGCCACCTCTGTGCTCAGAGAGCCCCTCGCTGCACCTGCCGTTGGAGGAGGGAGAGGGTCTGCCTGCCTCCGGTGATGCATGAAATGCCTCACACAGCGCCTGGCACACAGCCCTGAGAAAACGGTTTCTTTCCCCCCCCCCTCCTTTCTCCACACCTAGTGATTCCCTAGATAGCAAATTGGAAGCTAGAATTTTATCAGATTCCTTTGCCAGAGGGATTGTCAGAGCCACCAGGAGACATAAATTACGTAGTTGGAAGCTCTGACAGCCCTGCAAATAACAGTAGCTCTCGCTGAGCCCATACAATGAACCAGGTGTGTCGTATACATTTCCTACCAACCCTGCAAAATGAAGAAACTGGCACTAAATGGTGAAATAGTTTCTTTTGTATCCCAGAATTCTTCCCACTATGAACTGTGGTTCTGACTGATACACACCACCAAACCCTGACTGTGTATGGAGTGTGAGTGTTGAAGTGGGAATGAGGACAGCGAGCTGCTGCTACTGCAAGGTTTTCTATCTGTCTGGTGAGATCAGATTCTAAATGCCACTGGACTCGGGTCCTCCCCTTGGGTTACTGCTGTGTTAGAAATAGAAATGGTCTGAACTGTGCATAAAAAGCAAATGGAATATAAATAAACAACTTGGAATATCAGCAACTTGGTTTGGTCATTGAAACAGAAGGATTGCAAGGGCCTGCTTTTATAGCCGAAACTCCTGTGGAGGCACTGGGAAGTGTTTATGGGGGTGGAAAGAATGGTTATAAATCACTTGCTGGATTGGATGTATTTTCCACAGGAAATTACTTCCTAGGAAACTAAGTCCTATTACTGTAAAGGGGCAGTGCATCCTGGGCAGCAAATTTTGAAGAACTGTGTGTGTGTGTGTGTGTGTGTGTGTGAGAGAGAGAGAGAGAGAGAGAGAGAGAGAGAGAGAGAGAGATGTTTTTATTCATTTCTGAGAGAAGAAGGGAGAGGGAGAGAGAGAAACATCAGTGATGAAAGAGAATTGTTGATCAGCCACCTCCCGCACACCCCCTACTGGGGATTGAGCCTGCCACCTGGACATGTGCCCTGACCAGGAATCAAACCATGACCTCCTGATTTATGGGTCAATGCTCAACCACTGCACCACACTGGCCAGCTGAAGAACTGGGTTGGAATGATACTGCCCACATGAAGTGCCTGGTTGTTGTGGCCCAGTTCTCAGGGTAGGGCCAGCCCAGCATATTGTGGTAACACCTTTGAACCTTTACCATTTGGCTCTGTCCACTTTTCCCATGATTTTGGGGTCATCACAGTCCAATAGGCCTCCAGGCAGAAGGGAAACATGGTGCTACATTCGGAATAATTAAAGGTCATCTGTTCCCATTAAGTTGGGACTGGCTGCCAGGTTTTCTGGGTTGGCATCTACCCTGAAGACCTGGCCTGAGCAGCAAAAGTGGAGAAGAGGTGGGTTTATGTCTTCATTTGACTAATTTCCACCTGTCATCTGGCTAATAAAACAGATCAGCCTAAGACAATATGTAGGTAACATTTTCATTTTGTTAATATGATTCTTCACCTATTTTTCTTGGCCAGTAACTTGATTGGTAAGCCATTAGTCGGTCATCCTCAGCGCTGCTGCGGAGGTGGAAGAGGCTCCCACCGCTGCACCCAGCAGCTGTGAGCCTGGCTCTGGCTGAGTGGCGCACCCCCTGTGGGAGCGCACTGACCACCAGGGGGCAGCTCCTGCATTGAGCGTCTGCCCCTTGGTGGTCAGGGCGCATCACAGTGACCTGTTGTTTCCACCATTTGGTTGATTTGCATATTAGCCTTTATTATAATATATAGGATTATCAAATATTAGGCAGCCATTTAAAAAGGTGAAGCAGAACTGTGAGATACAGGCCGTGCATCCTGAAATGGGAAAGCCAGCTGGGATTCCCGTGTGTGCATGGGGACACCACCATCGCCAGCACAGGAGGGTCTGACTGAGCAAGCACCTTTGCCCACCTCTATTGCTTTATGCCTTGACAGCATAAGAGACAGGATGATTCTTCCATATCTGTGTTCTCCAGAGCCATCCCTAATGTGGGGCAGTAAGAGTAAATGGCTGATCAGACTGCAGGCAGGGAACACCCAGGGGAAAGATCCTGGCTAATGCTTCGAATAGTATCCTGTCAGACACATGACTATAAAATGCATAAATAAATGTCTCAATGTCATTATACCAATGTTCCTTTAGGTTATTAAAAATAAAAAGAGCAGGATGTAGGGTGGGGATATGGCGAAGGAACTTCAACTTTTTACTCATGTATTTGTTATTTGAATCCTTGGTAGTGAACATCTTATTGGAGTATAATTGACATACCATAAAACCTACCCATTTGAAGCGATTCAGTGATTTTTGGTGAATTTACTAAACTTAAGCCATATACAACCGACCAAAGTGATGACAAAGTCAGTGTGGGAATGTCTTCCATGGGGAGGGGTGTCCCAGCAGTGGGACTCCCTTCTACGTTCTTGTCACAGCCCTAATCACTGTGCTTGGGCTGTTTAAGATTGACATCTGCCATTGAGGAGCCATCCTTCTCTCTCCATCCTGTGCTGAGCACAAAGTACATTCTCAGATGAAAGACACTCCCTGTCTCTTATCATTCAATTCTTGGTGGTCTCTCACCATCCCTGAGTGGTGGTCAGGGAGCAGAAATGGGCTCACTGACTTTCCCAGCCGGCCGCCACCACAGGTAGTGCCAAGTGCAGAAGATTGTTAAATAGCCCAGATCTTTCCTCCCCCTTCCAAGTCATCATAGCAGCACAGTTTCCAAGGAAAGGATCACCCAAGCCAAAGGTGGTTGAAAATGCATTTATTTTTTTGTCAAATGATCTTTTTCTAGCAATAAATAAAAACAGACATGTCGACTTTTCTAAAAAACAAAACCAAACAAAAAAATCCCCTACACTATATACATTCTACAGAGATACAAGCATATCAAATGTAGAAATGACATCACTCTGGAAGATGGGGCTATTTACAGAAGTTACAAGTATTGCATTGCTCGGTGGTGAAGAAGCCTCCCCCTGGGATGACTCATAAACTCTAAGGAAGGACAGGTCGGGTCGCCCCTGTGCTCCTGGGAGATGGGAGGGATATCTTCAAAGAGGTGAAACTCTCCATTCGTCTTGATAGACAAGGAGACTTCCAAGGAAAAACATCAACATGCAGACACTGTCTTCAGTTCCCTAACAGTTCTCCCCAGTTCAGCTTTCACGTGTGAAATGGTAGCCCCTTCAGATCACATGCTCCTTGAGCTCCTGAGAGCCAGGCTGGGACTGAAAGGGAGACCAGGCTGAACCAGTGACAAGCCCATGGGGGTAGTTTCGTGAGCTCGGATATCAAGACCCAACGCCAACAGTACCCTGCCACCCAGCAAGGGGCTTCCTGAACGTGAGTTACGCATGGGAAGTGCTTGCAGTGCTTAGAAGCATGCTGATGGCTGGGCCTTCTTCCAGAAATCCTTGCTTAGCTGTTTCTGGGATAGCCTGGTAGCAGGGTTTTCTAAGCTCCCCAGCTGATGCAAAAGGGCAAAGCAACAGCCCCCTCCTGTCACATTTGAACCAACCATCCCACCTCCCTGTCCACCTGCCAAGGATTTTAAAAACTCCCTCACGGCTTCCCAACCCAGAAGAGCGCCCGAAGAAATGGCCTCAGGAGAGGAGGACTGAAGCTGGGCGCTCCAGGCCACCTGCTCATGGTGATTTCAGCCTGATCCTGCTCCGAGGAGAAGCCAAGTCCATGTCCCTTAGCGTTCCCTTACTCGTGTAGGTGTGTTATTTGAATTTTTGGTAGTGAACATCTTATTGGTTGTATAATGGACATACCCTAAAAAACACCCTTACACCGCAGATTCTGTAAGGGAAGTGGCAGCTCTCCTCGGTCTGTCTACAGAAGATACAGAGTCTACTGACTTTGGTAGCCCATAAAAGCACAGCTGATCATCAGTGAAAAGTGGCCATTACAGAAATGCCTCATCACCAGAAACCACTTCATGGGAGGGATGTCTACGGAAAGCCACTGGCCATTTGGACTCACCCTGTGGTGGTCCAAGTGGCTTCTGATGATGAGAGAACCACCACCCCAAACCCCCTTTTCCAATCAAGCCAGCTCCCTACGCTGTTTCTGCGAGTTTGGGGACTCGCACTGTGGTCAGGACACAGAAAATGGCTTTATAAATAGCAGTCTGGCACTGCACCAGAAGACTCGCATTGCAAAGCGGGGCAAGACCTGCACAGGCTGGTCCTGAGCTCTGCCTGCCCATGGGGCTGGGACCGACCGGGGAAGCAGAATACATAGGTTTTGGCAAATGTATCCTTTCCCTCCCCCGCCTCGAGCAGCCCTCCTCCAGGCCTAACCAGGTTGGAATCCTTAAGCTTCTTCAGCTGCAGAACCCACCTGGCCTCATTTATCACAAAGCATGAGGAGATCTCCAGGGATCAGGAAAAGGTGGGAACGTCCAACTGTGCTGTCTCTGAACAGTCCCATTTGTCCAGGAACCCCAGCCCCACACCCCTCACCCCTAACTATTCAGCTGCACAGCTTCCGGGGAAGGAGGGAATCTCGGGCATCACCACCCGAAGAGGGGGCCTGACAAAGGCGGGACGGAGAACGCCAGCACAGGTTCACGTTCACAGAAGGAAATCTAAGGAACCGGGTCCTGTCTGGACCGCCAGGCCCAGCAGCGCCTCCCAACACCGCCCTGACTCAGGCTGGACGTTATTTCCGGGTGAGCAAGCATGTTTATTTAGATCTAGACTCTCCAAGAACTAAAAAAAAAAAAAAAAAAAAAAAAAAAAAAAAAAAAAATGCTCTCATTTCTAGACAAATTTGCAAGGACCTCTAATCCGGCACTCCGAAACAACACGGCTCCACAGAACTACAGAAAAAGCAACACATAGCTGTTCCCTCTCCCTCCCCCCAAGCCCAGCCCACAGAAAGCGTCCTTCCCCCTCCAGAGCCCTTCCTCTGGGTGGAAGGCCCCTTCACCTGGCATTTCTCAAGGATTCTAAAGATGGCACCCAAATGCCCCTCACTGCACCCCACAGCCACCTCCTCAGGCTCAGGACCTAAGCCAAGCGTCTCCCCCAACTCCTCCCACGCTTCGCCATCCTGGACTTCAGGAAGACCTGAAATGTGGTGTCCACTCCCGTTTATTCAAAAGAGGGCCTTTGGCTGAACCTGGTTTGGCTCAGTGGATAGAGCGTTGGCCTGTGGACTGAAGGGTCCCAGGTTCGATTCCAGTCAAGGGCATGTGCCTTGGTTGCGGGGTGTGCAAGAGGCAGCTGATCGATGATTCTCATCGATGTTTCTAACTCTCAATCCCTCTCTCTTCCTCTCTGTGATAAATCAATAAAATATAATTTAAAAAAAAAAAAAAAAGAGGGCCTTTGGAAACATTCACCTAAACCAGGCATTTAAACTCGTACTTCCCTCCAAGTAAACCCCCCCCCATCATGGAAATCGCCAACGCACATGCGTATGCAGAGAAGAGGTGGCGTTCCCACTTCCAAAGGGATCATTGCCGGTGTGTGTCTAGTTGGCTGGTGTCCCCGAGGGCCTGTGTGAGAGCACCAGATAGGATATGGCATGTGTCACAGATGGTCTGCAAGTCCTCAGGCGGGAGGATGAGAAAAGCGCCCCCACCTGCCCAACTGAATCATTGAGCATCCGAGAGAGAAGGCTGTGCTGTTTGCGGTGTGAAGGCCTTCGGTGTCCACGTGCCCTGGAACCAGCCTGGCAAATTGTTAAAAACGAAGTCCCTTTCTTCCTCCTCCTCTGCGCCCTGCCTGCCTCTCCCTGCCAGTCCAGGCGGATCAGACGCGAGCCTGGCCCCCCTCAGGGTGCCACTGACCTCCTGGCCGCTGAGACGTCAGCCGCCTCGGGTGCCCACTGTGACGTCACAGAAGCATATGCCACCGTCACTGCGCTCAGATTCTCGCGGACATTCTTAATAAATACTTTTATTATGGAGCATCATCATTCACCTGGTTGTGACTTAGAAGGGAAAACCATGTCCTCGAAGGTTCCTTTAGGAAAAAAAGAATCCCTGTAACCTCAACAACAACACAGAACCAGGCACTTCGGGCAAACTTGTTTTCTCCTTGTCCCTCGCCCCCCTCCCTTGAATAAAATTTGCCAGGGCCTGTGGATTTCCTAACTTCAAGCCTTACTGCTTTAAAAAAAATGAGGTAAGAAATTCCCGTCTACAAGGTCACACGGACACACACACACACACACCAGGCCGAGGCCTTCCCCGCCCGCGAGGCAGCGTTATTGCTGGAAGTTGGGGGGCTCCGTGTGCTGGCTGTTCGCAGGTGTGCAGAGTCCTTATTGCCATTCTGGCGGCCGCTGGTGGGCCGGGGAGAAGACGTGATGGAAGGAACCTGGTGGCCTGTCCCCCGGTCGGTCAGTTCCAACTGGCCGCCGGCCCGTGGCCCCCACCGGTTGGTTGGTCAGTTGGTCGGTCGGTCGGTCGGTCGGTCGGTCGTTGGAGGCCCCCGGGGTGGGGGTCCCCCGCGCCCCTAGCAGCTGGGGGAGGTGGTGATGGGGCTGTGCAGGTAGGGCAGGCTGCTGGGGGCCGCGTGCACGCCCACCGACACCGGGAAGCTGAAGACGAACTGCGAGCTGGGCGTGCCGGCGGCCGGGCCGCGCTCGCACCGCGGCCCCGACGGGCTGGCGGCCTCGGCGGCGCAGGACGTGGCCAGCACCTGCGACTCGAACTGCAGCAGCTGCCCCATGAAGCTGAAGTTGGGCGAGATGATGCTGCGCCGCTGCTTGACGAACTCGAAGGCCTCCTCCAGCCGCACGCGCTTCTTCATCATCAGGTAGGCCAGGCAGATGGTGGCCGAGCGCGAGATGCCCGCCTGGCAGTGCACCAGCACGCGCCCGCGGCACTCCTTCACCGCGTCTGCGGGGAGGGGGAGGGGGGTCAGGGCCAATGCTGCCTGAGCGGTCCCCATGCCCCCCAAACATCCTGCCCCACCTGAGCGGTCCCCATTCCCCCCGCCCCCCAAACACTCTGTCCCCAATGCCTAGGCAGGTGGCCTGGCCAGCAGTGGGGAGGAAAGAGGGAGGGGGGGCTGGGCAGGTGTCGGAGGATGGGGCACGCCCATGGGAGAAGGGCAGGGAGGACCCTACGGGAAGGGGCTGTAGAATCCTCACCATCCTAGGCTGTTTCTGAGACAGTCAAGCCCATGCATTAAGTTTGGAAAAGACGCATGCTAAACCCCAGAACATTCAAGGATTTCTTTCCTCTTGCAGAAATAAAAATAACGACTCATGTCTCCCTTTCTTTATCCTCCCCACCATCCCAGGAGCCTTGTCGTCAATGCATCTGGAGACATGGAAGGCAAAGGCTCCGCAAGCTAGCAGCATGGAGGTAGGATGGGGTTTCCCATCCCTGCCCAGCACGCCATGCAACAAGCAGGCCTTCCTATGGGGTGTAGGCCGGTGTGGGGTGTAAGCGGGGGACAGACTACATCCTGGGAACCACCTCCCCATCCCCTCTCCCCTCCCTCATGAGTTACAAATGGTCCCTACCACCCTGCCCACCCGGCCTTGGACCTTGGACCCAGTCCCCGCCAGGGCCGCCTACCGATGTACTCGATGGCCTCCATGAACCAGGAGCTGATGTCGGCCTTGTGGTTGTCCTCCACGGGGATGCACTTGTACTGGTAGAGCCCCTCGAAGTGGTTCGGGCAGTCAGAGGACACGTTCAGCAGGGCCGTGATGCCCAGGGCATCCAGCATGTCCCTCCGGGCGGCGTGGTAGGCACTGCCGAGGTAGAGGAAGGGGAGGATCTCCACCGGGCCCCCCTGCACCAGAGAGGAGAAACAGGCCCCCGACATCATCAGTGCACAGCGGACAGGAAGAGGGCTGGGTGCTGGGACAGGGAGAGGGCCCTTCACGGGCCCTGAGGAGCATGTGTGGACACAGCCCTTCCGGGCATCCCTCATCCTGAGGAGGCTCCTGAAGGGAGCGGGGGCCCATGGGACTCCTCTAGCCTTTGCGTTGCCCCCTGCAGAGAAGCCAGGACAGGAGAGCCTTGTTCAAGCAGCCTCTCCCGTGAGGGAGGGAGAGACAGGCACAGGGCCGGCTGGTCCACCATCTGTGACTTTAAGAGCTTACACCTGCCCGTCACCGAGCTACCTGTTAGGTGGTTTAGGGAGTTCTTAGTTGGATACTTCTTCACTTGTTATGTCAAAAATAGATCTCTGCCAAAACTGGTTTGGCTCAGTGGATAGAGTGTCGGTCTGCGGATTGAAAGGTCCCGGGTTCAATTCCGGCCAAGGGCATGTACCTCGGTTGCAGGCATATCCCCAGTAGGGGGTGTGCAAGAGGCAGCTGATCGATGATTCTCTCTCATTGATGTTTCTAACTCTCTATACCTCTCTTTTCCGCCCGGTAAAAAATAAATAAAATATGTTTTTAAAAAATATTGAGATAGATGCCTCACAGACAAAAGGAGGGACCTTGGCTTAAATGAAGGTCCAGCCCTAAGCAATCTGAGACTTGGGCAGCAGAGTTGCTGGGCTTCGTAAGTTCACCCCTCCCCATCTACAGGAAAAGGGCTGGAAGGGGTGGGCTTGTAAGAAATAGGATGGCTTACACTGGTTCTCTCCGGGAGAGCTGGCTGGCCATTTGTCATTTATAACTGGGGACAGCCTGAGTGTTCTGGAACGGGGTGGGGTCCACAGGCCACTCCTTCAAAGAAGGGTGTTCCCTCAGCTTCCTGCAGGGCTGGCCACACATCCAGCCTCAACAGCCTCTCGTTTGCCTGCACGTAACTCGAGGCTAATCAGAGAGTTAGGACTTTTTAAATGTTGTTACTAACCCTCACCCGAGGATATCTTTCCATTGATTTTTAGAGATTGGAAGGGAGGGAGAGACAGGGATGTGAGAGACACATCAATTGGTTGCCTCCTGCATGCACCCCGACCAGGCCTGGGGAACCTGCAACCAAAATACATCCCTTGCCAGAACCTGTTTGGCTCAGTGGATGGAGCGTCGGCCTGCAGACTCAAGGGTCCCAGGTTCAGTTCCGGTCGAGGGCACATCCCCAGTGGGGGATGGGCAAGAGGCAGCTGATGGGTGTTTCTCTCCCATCGATGTTTCTAACTCTCTATCCCTCTCTCTTCCTCTCTGTAAAAAAATCAATAAAATATATTTTTTAAAAATAAATACACACCCTTGACCAGAATCGAACCCAGGACCCTTCAGTCCGTGGGCCGACACTCTAGGAAGAATTCTAAGGAATAACCTATTCCTAACCCACCTTACAACCCATCCCAACATCCGAAGCCTCGGAAAGCAGAGCCCGGAGAAGAAGCGCCCACACACCTGGTCGTGCAGTGGGGTTCCGCAGGAGCTGCAGCCCAGGTCCAAGGCCTCGGCCGTGCTGGGGGGCACTGCGGGCGGGATGGCTGCCAGCGCCTTGGTTTTGGAACAGAATTCTGGATACTCGGAGGAAAACCTCTCATAGCCACCTGTGAGGAGAAAGAAGTGCGGGTTAATGGGGTCAAATAAGCCCGCGGGGAAACCACCAAGAACTGGAGTCCTATCCCTGCACTGAGTGAGGAGAGCTGTCTCTGCATTTACCACTGGGTGGCGCTGTGGGCCCAGCGATAATGGCTATGGAGCCTTTTCCAGAGATGCTGAGTCCGCATTCAGCCAGGAGGGTAGTAAGCTTTCCCGGTCCCGGTTTGGGATACAGACGCACAGAGGAAGGTGCGCAGGGGGCCTGGAGAAGGGCCTTTTTTCCAGAAGAGCTCCTGAGGGTGATGGAATAGGCTGGGTGTCGATAAGCACAAGAAACCTGCAAAGATGTCTGTCCTTCCCCAACGTTAGCCCTTCCTTTGGAGAGCTTCAGTGGGGGGAGAAGAAAGAAAGGTTACTCTTGGCAGGAGCCCTGCTAGATCTCGGCAGCAGAGCGGATGCCAGTCGTCCAGCCTTGCAAACAGCTGTCCCACCGACAAGGGGCCAAAACGAGAGGAAATGGGCTTAAATCTACATAAACCCCTCGTGCTACACACGCAGGTTTGGGGCAAGGCAGGATTTCCTGACCTGAGAGCTGCTAAGCCCTGGGATGGTTATCCGTGAGCTCGCCTTCCGGGGAAGGGAGATCTTTTCATGGAAAAGAGATAAACGTGTGGAATGGTGTCAGCGCCAAACAGAAGGGCCCGGCTGGGCAGAGGCAGGCAGGCAGGAAGCCACTCCGAGGCGAGACATGCTCAGCCTCCACTCGGACGGATCCTGTGACCTCTGGACGTGGCTCTGCAGTACCCTACCATCTACCGTCCGTGTCTGGCCCTGCTTGGGTGTGCACTTTGCAGTTTCTTTTTTTTTTTTTTAATATATTTTATTGATTTTTTTACAGAGAGGAAGGGAGAGAGATAGAGAGCTAGAAACGTCGATGAGAGAGAAACATCGACCAGCTGCCTCTTGCACACCCCCTACTGGGGATGTGCCCGCAACCAATGTACATGCCCTTGACCGGAATCGAACCTGGGAACTTTCAGTCCGCAGACCGACGCTCTACCACTGAGCCAAACCAGCTTCAGCAGCACTTTGCAGTTTCTGTAGGACCAAAGATGGGTGGTACATTAATTCAGAAGATGAAGGGAATCAAAACTTGGCCGTTGTAAGATAAATGAGTCCTGGAATGTAATGTACACCTTGGTGACTGAAGCCATTAATATTGTATTGCACATTTGAAAGTTGCTAAGAAACTAGATCTTAAAGTTCCCATACAAGAAAAAAAAAAAAAAAAAGTTAAACCCTAGACATGTTAAGTAGGCTCATTGTGGTGATCATTTGCCAATATAGTCAGTATCGAATCATTATGTTTTACACCTGGAACTAATGTTATATGTCAATTAAATCTAATTTTTTTAACCCATCAACTTACTTAAAGATAATTCAGTAGGGCCTGCATGTTGTGGGACAACTATTCTCATGGACCCCTTCAACGGATGGTCATGTGTGTAGCTAGTACCTTTAAATCTTGGTGACTAAGTGACATGGTGCCACTGTTCCCTGTAACATGCATCGTAATCTTCCAATATGCTGACATGTGATGGTTAGTCACTTTCTTGCCCAGAATTCCAGCCCCAGAAGCTGATTCTTTGCCACCTCATAAGGCTTACAGAAACAGGGCATGCATTTCTTCGGCTCTGACGGGAGGCCTTCCCCTCCCTCCCTTCCTCCCTCCCTCCCTCCCCAGGATATAAATGGCCATCTCTCCGGTCACAGGCACCTGCTCCTGCTGAGTCACAATGACCAGCCTCCGTGGACAGACAACCTACAGCGGGGCCTACCTGTGGTGCCAGTGTCAGGGGTTGGTTGGCTCAGCAGTGACCTCAGCATGGCTGCTCTCCCTCCCATTATCACCCCCTCTGTCCCCACTTTTCCGTATGCAGCTGCCGACACTGCTGTGCCCCCTCCCCCACAAACATCTGGGATGGGAAACCTTATAGATGCTTCCTCCCCCCTCAGAGAAAGTAGAAAGGGAAATGGATCAGTCAACAGACCATATTGAACGCCTATACAGGAAGTCAGCACGCGGCTCAGCGGAGTTGCTCAGTGGTTGAGCGTAGACCTGTGAACCAGGAGGTCACAGTTCAATTCCTGGACAGGGCACATGCCCGGGTTGCAGGCTCCATTCCCGGGGGGCGGTGGAGGGAGGGGTGAGGGGGGCACAGGAGGCAGCTCATCAATGATTCTCTCTTCTCATAGATGATCCTGTCTCTCTTTCCCTCTCCCTTCCCTTCCTCTCTGAAATCAATAAAGTTATATTTTTTTTAAATAATATATTAAATAAAAATTTTTAAAGTCATCACATGTGATTCTGTATATTTCTAGAGGGTTTGAAAATTTCCAAATAAAATGACCTTTGTGTTTATTATGGAAGCTGAGCTATTAAAACACATATCCCCCCCCCCCCCCCTCCCCCCGACAGTGGACCCACCCAAGAGCGAATGGCGGAGTCACAGGTGTGCCAGGAGTGCCAGGGCCAGGCTCCAGGGTCACAGAGAGGAGCACCCTGAGGGCAGCAGGAGGGCAAGGAGCCTCGAGTGGTTGAAAGAATGTTCCTCCCGCCTTAGCCCGTTATGCTCAATAGTGTGTCCTGGGTTCAATTCGGGTCAAAGGCATATGCCCAAGGTTTCAGGCTCAATCCCCAGGAGGGGGCGTGCAGGAGGCAGCCAATCAATGATTCTCTCTCATCATTGATGTTTTCATCTCTCCTTTCCTCTCCAAAATCAATAAAAATATTTTTTTTAAAAAAAGAATGTTCTCCCCAAGTACGGGAAGGGCACCAGACTGAAGTCTGGAGGGGACACAGTCTTTGCAGTCAGACTCACGGGTCTGGGGCGGGCACTGAGCTTCCTCCTCCACACACTGTGCTGGAACAGCCACACCTGCAGTGCTTGGAGGACTGACTGGGACGGCCAGTGTGCGCCTGGCCTCAGGGAGATGCATAAGGAAGGTTCCTTTCTGGGCACCTACAAAGGGACCCCAGCGTTCCTGGCCACTTCCCAGGCTTTGGGCCACCTCCTCCTCCTGGGCTTCATTGTGGTTTCCAGTTGGAGTCTTCAGACCCCATACTTTGCCAGCAGAAGGACAGGCACCACACTTCTGAACTGAGGACCCTTCCGGGCCTGGGACATCCGCTGCCTCTCAGTCTCCATCAACTGGGAGGGGCAGAGAACCGAGTCAGAGGCTGACCCGGGGGTGTGGCAGGTGGGGGGACAAGACAGAGGTGACCCAGAGGCCAGACCCGAAATGGCCAGTAAAAGACACTCTTAGAACAGAACAGAAACATGCTGGAAAGTCAGTGCCCTCTGGCGGGCGTTTAAAAAACAAGCAGAGAGGGACGTCAGTGAAGAAGCAGATCAGCCGGACGGACAGGAGCACAGAAGGAAGGATCACCTCCGTGATGGCGGCAGCAATGAAAAGGGTTTTCCCTCCAGAGCTGTGGCTTTTGGGGGTCCGGCTGGTTGTTACAAAGGAGTGTCTTTGGGGGCGGGGGGGGGGGGGCAGGTGGCTGCCCTCAGGCCAGGAGCATGCAGGCGAGTGGGGTCCATGGACTCATGCAAGTTAGGAACCTCCAGTCTACCCTACAGGGCCACATCCAGGGTACCAGATCCGTGCTCATTAAAATGACGGGCACTCCTGAGAGGAGATGCTCACCACGCCAGGCTCTTCCCATACATGAGTCCAGCGGCCCTTGGGGAAGGTGTGACCAGTTCCAGTCTTACAGAAGAGGATGGACACTGAGGAGCAGGGCAGCCCCAGGGAAGGGCAGGGCCAGCATCAGCCCACTGGTCTCCGAGGCGGCTTCTGCCCAGCTGTCTGGAGCCCACCCTGGGCGCACCCAGCTCTGCCTCCCTGGCGGTCCTCCCCCAGGGCACGGCCTGCTAGCTGGTGGCGGCTCGCAATCGCGCAGTTTTCATGCAAAACCTCCCGGGCGGAACACGGCTGACATTTCACCGAACCCCACTTCTTTCCAGTGCTCTCCTACCTCCAAGGCTGGCATGAGGAGCGGTGACCAGCATTTTAAACTTAGCGAGAGAAAACAGGAGCTACTGGAATGCATTGGCATTTAAAGACGCTATCATTTCATGAATTCTGGTTTCAGGTTTGTATCCCTGTACTGGGTCAGGGTGGAAATGGAAATGAATTTACTGAGGGGGTGAGGGGCCACTCAAAAGATGCCGCCAGGCCCCCAGGTGCCTCCCCTCCACACTCCCAAACCCACGCAGACACCAGAGCCACAGCCCTGTAAGAGCTCCATTTTACATCACCACATTTTATCCAGACCTTAGGAGAAGGAGGCTTATTCCAGCGGGACGCGGCGGGCTGGGCCGGACCCGTGCCTCCTGCAGGCGCGCACAGAGGGCAGGGTGCGGGCACCAGCAGGAGCCCTGTGTTCCCGCCCTCAGAACAGAAGGGTCTCAGACTCTCTCTCCTCTGAATTCCTCGTGGCCACAACTTACTTCTTTGCAAACGACACTCGGACATGATGTGCAAGATCCGCATTGTTACCTTAAAACACTGTCATTGCTGATTCCGCCTGCTTCTTCTATGCCCTATTGAATGCCATCCCACAATGTACTCCGGCCCATTTGGACCTGTTTCTCCCGTGTTCTTATTTAATAATAGGCTTTCTAGCCTTAAAGTTCTGATTTTCTCATCTTAACGTTTAAAACTGGACTGTATTTGTGTGTGTGTGTGTGTGTGTGTGTGTGTGTTTTGGGGGGGATATAATTTCTCAGCCAACTTCATTCAGGAACATTTCTAGTTCAACTCCATGCTCTTTTTTCTCACACTTCCGTCCATGCAGGGCTGGGAGGGTACGTGTAAGGTGCTTCAGAAAAGACAGGCTGATGCGGTGCTGATCCCATCATCATAATAGGGCCCTTAAGGAGGTCTGTGATGGCAAAGACGGGCACTGGTGGTGACCAGGGTCATCAATGTTCATGTGGATGCTGCTCCCCCCCCCCCCCCCGCCAATAACACTCAGCACATCACCCCTTCACAGTCAGGGCCCGGGGCCTGGCTCTCCAGAGACATCATATCAACACAAAGCATATCTTGCCAGCAAAGCCTGAGGTCATTTGAAGGTCATCTGGCTTTGAGCGCTTCCCGTGAGGTGGGTGTGGACTCGGTAAGCACCCATGGAATGCTGGGCGGTTTTCAGTTATTAAATGGTACTTACGTGGGCTTCTCGCCGCAAACCTGCCAGCCCTGGGACGACAGCTGGCGGACACCTAAGGCCCCACTCGGCTGCCTCTTGTCTGGATCTTGTCCCAGCCCTGTTCTGTCTGCCGGGCTCAGGAAGCCGGCTTCCGTCCCAGAGTGAACTTTCCTTCCTGTCAGACTTCCTCTCTGTTCGGCGGGAACTGCCTCCCAGTAAGGAGGCCAGCTATCTGGTTTCAGAGGGCCTGACTTTTTAAAGAAAGGTCCTGGCTCCTTGAAAAAGGCCACCCTCCTCCCTCCCTCTCCCTCCCTCTCTCTCCCTCAGCATCCCGGCAGCCCGTCTTGGTGGATGCAGCCCAGCTCATTTCTAAGCATCAGGGACAAGCCCAAAGGAGCTGTTAAGGGCTTAGTAAGGATGATGTTTCACTCTCAATATAGAGGGACACTTTGTCTGTAGCTACTTTTGTGATGGAAGCATCCAGTTCAAATGATGCAAAAAGTAATGAGTTTGCTTCATTCGTTATAACTCTAACAAATTACAATTGGGGGTAGAACTTATCTTTAGAGCCTACTTTTTTTCTTATTTGTAAAGGGAAAAGCCAGTCCCCTTTGGGTGGAAGGTGTGCAACCTCACTCAGCATCCTCTTCCCCTCCTTTCCGCCACGCCGCCCCCCTCCCTCCTGCCCCCCCATAATTGAGGCTCTGCTGTTAACCTCCTGGAGACCTGAGATGGGCTGGACAAGTGGGGACAGAGTGAGACAAGGCAGAAGACAGTCACCAGAGTTACCAAGGCTGCTGGCTGAGCCCCCAAACCCTGTCCTTCGCCCTCGGTGGCTGTTTTCTACAGAAAGTGCGCTGTCAGCCTCTGAACGGTTGGTCAGGACTGGGGTCCATGGGCCCCATGAGTTCCAGCAGGGAGTGAACAGCTGGAAAACCTGGTGGATCCTCTCACTTCCTCAGCTTTTCTATCAGAGCCTGAAGGTCTTACAACAGTCATGAGCTGAGATGAATTTTAGACAGGAAAAGGGAAAGATAATGTTTTTATACCTGAAATCTTCTGCATAACAGACTGATTTGTTATTTGGGGAAGATGGGAGATAAGGAATGACTTCCATTAGAGTAAAAAAAAAAATTCTCTTTTTGTCTTTCTCTAATGATCAAGGTGTGTGTGTGAGGGGGGCGGGGGGAGGGAGGGGAGTGTCTAAAACCCTAATCCAAGGATTTATGAAGGAAAGGGGGATTTGAAAGGAGAGGTGTATTGTAATAAAAGCTGAAAAACTGAAATTTCTAAACTGTCCTTAAAAATACCTCATAGGATTTGAAATAAACTTAGCTTTTTAAAAAGGTTTACCTCAATGGGAATTTTACTTGCAAAAAAAAAAAAGACCAGAAAAACATAGTGATTTGGGTTATTGCTTTTAGCAAAACTTGGCAGCATTTTATTGGTATTAAGGAAAGTTTACTCCTAACTCTGAATTCGTACCTGTGGTATTAGTTATGAACCACCTGCAACTGCCCCGTCAAAGAGAAATAGAAAAATCAAAATTTTAAACGGAATTATAATTGGTAGAATTAGATAGTCTTTGGCCAGGAAGGATAATACAACCAGGAACCAAATGACCCAACCCCTAATCAATTCAGGTATTGACTGAAGATTATCTAAGGCTTTTTCCCATGTTTCCCTTTACTTAGCTCCCTATCCCACCCCACAACGGTGTGGCCTCCACTCCGCTGCCTTCAGCTGGGGTGCAGGAGGCACCCCTTGCTTTCCTCCCCAACACTGCACCTTCCCCAGGCCTGTGCGGGCAGACGCTGCCCAGTTCCTTTCTGTCCTCGGGGTGAGAGCCTTTTCCAGGAAAAGGCAGAGAGAAGAAAGAGGAACTGTGTTAAGAGGGCCTCTACTTAGCAATATATGTCCATAAGCTCAGTTAACCAGATGATGACCCAGGTAACAACCTCCAAGACAGCCTGCCAGCACCACAGAACCAGCTGGGAGAGCCACAGAACCAGCTGTGAGAGCCACAGAACCAGCTGGGAGCCACAGAACCATCTGGGAGAGCCACAGAACCAGCTGGGAGAGCCACAGAACCAGCTGGGAGCCACAGAACCAGCTGAGAGAGCCACAGAACCAGCTGGGAGAGCCACAGAACCAGCTGAGAGAGCCACAGAACCAGCTGGGAGAGCCACAGAACCAGCTGAGAGAGCCACAGAACCAGCTGGGAGCCACAAAACCAGCTGAGAGATCCAGGCCACCCTGAGAATGCCAGGCTGGGCTGCCAAAGGCAGGTTCCCTCTGCTCCAGCCGTCCAGGCCCCTCCTGACTACGCCCAAGACCTGCTCCTGAAGAGACAGGTTGAACCTAAGACCCAGGCCCAGACACTCAGCATCTCAGAGGGAGTCTGTGGACTCTGAGATGCATAAGGTCGCCCTCCCTGCCGCACCAGGTCGGACAACAGGAGGCAGTGCAGGCCTGGGAGGCAACAGCCTTTGGAGAGCTGCTTCCCAGTGGGCCAGGCGCCTCGCCAGCCGCCAGGGGACCGTCATTTTACCCAGAAGCTCCGGTCCTACCCAGTCTATACATTAGCATTTGCCTCGTGCAGAATGGCTGGTCTGATCTGGCTCTTTGCTCTCTCCCGATGGGGTTGGGGTGACCCAGGGAGATGCCGCAAGCCAGAGGAGGAAACTTTAAAAATATGCATCCAGGGAGGGGGGCCTAAGTGTCTGCGTGACCGCCCGGAAGCCCCAGGGCCAAGGTCTCCAGCTGCCTCTCTGGGGCGGTCCCTCCGGATTTCTTCCAGGAAGAAAAATTAAAAACAAAAACGAGTTCAGACTCCACGTGGGTCTGCCCTTCCATCAGGAGGAAGCCCAGGGCAGCGCAGCAAGCAGAACGCCCGTCCACCCCCTCCAAGCGAAGGGACTTTCATCCCAAAGCAATTTCTCCCCTGGGTCCCTCCAGCGCCCGCACGGACGGTCTCACCGGGACCTGGACCGGACACAGGTCCCCGAGGCGCCGGCCCCTCCCTGGCACTTTCTCCCGAAGCGCTTTGGGAAGGAGGGAGGAGGACCGGGCTCCACCGGAGGTGCAAAAAGGCAGCCTCCCACGGAAAGAAAAAAATCAGCAAAATCGCCTTCGTGGTTCAGCCACAGGTCAACGGCAGCAGCGTTTCCCCAGCAGCTGACAGGTCAAATGGCCAGGAAACAACTGCCGAGAACAAAGCCCCCCGCTGTTCGCCAGGGCAGCCCGGCCCGTCTCCACCGGGCAGTTCCGCGGAGCCTTTCGGACGGGGCGGCGGGGAGAGGTTTCCGCCCTCCTCCCCCCACCCCCACCCCAATCTATTCCTTCCTCCCGGGCGAGCGGGCCGAGAGAGGAAGGGAAAGGAGGGAGGAACCGAGCGGCCCTTTGAAGGCTGGAGCCTGAGACGCCCCCCGGCTGGGGCCGCGGCACGGACGGGGCGGAGGAACGCGGCTGCGGCGGCCGGAGCTGGGGCGCATCGCGGCCGGGGGCGCCCTGGCTCCCCGCGCCCCGCGGCTCCTCCCGCGCCGGGGTCCCCGGGGGCAGCGGCTGGGCCGGGAGCGCAGGTGCGGCCAGTGCACCTCCCCTCCGGCTCCTTGGACCGCACGGCCAGACCCTCCTCCCCAAAGAGTTCCACCAGGGCTCCCCTACACCAAGCACGCCTTCCAGCCGACCCTCCGGAACGGGGTCTGAACAAAAGGTCGTCCTCCTCCGCTGCCTGACTATGTAGCAGGCACTGTCCCGCCGCCTGGCGTTCCCCAGACACACACGCTCCCCCCGCCTCCCGCGCCGGCGGGGCCCGGGGCTCGCTCGGCAGCGGAGGGAGCGGACCACCTTCCGGGAGGCGCTCGAAGTCGGGCGACAGCGGGGGAGGAGGGGAGGGGGACACAGATCGCTTATCGTCCTGTCCGCACCCCGATCTTCCTGGTACATTTCCCAAGGGCAGGTTCCCGATGGAACTGGCGCGCTCGCCGTCCGGCACCCTCTCCTCGCCTCCTGGGTTCCCGGGGTCGGACCTCAGTCCAGGGCCTGGGCACGCCAAGCCCGCAGGCCTCCCCTGTCCCAGCCCACCCGCACGCACAGGGACTCTTAGGGGCACTGCCCTGGGAGGCGAGCAAACGCGGAAGAGGCGCCGGACCGTTAACGGGTGTAAACAAACGCACGGCCGCCAGGAAGGGTGCGGGATGGCAGGTGACGGAGGAGGAAACGCGCCCTCGCAGTCCCCCCGACGACTTTTGGAGCGCGCCCCAAACCCGGGCAGCCCCCGTGCACACCGGGGCGCACAAAGGGGTTCGCGGGGATCCCCCGCCGCCACGAGTCCCTCCTCCATCACTTCCTCCCCCGGCCGCTCGGACGCAGGCCGCCTGTCCAGCCCGGACACACCGCCCTCGGAGCCCGCACCCGGCGCCCGCGCTCACCTTTCAGCAGGCAGATGTCGGTGCGCTCGGCGGTGCGGCGCAGCGCCTGCACCACCAGCGACACGGTGCTGTCCTCGCGGAGGCTGTCGGCGCGCGGGCTGCGCTCGTCGTAGACGATGACGGCCGAGTAGAGGCCGGAGCGCAGGCGGGAGCGCACCTCGTCCTCGGCGGGCAGGATCTGCTCCAGGCTCACGGCGCCCTTGGCCCGCCGGCGCACGATGGTGTTGCAGCGCACGTTGACCGAGCCGCGGATGGCGCCCGCGCTGTGCGCCAGGAACGGCCTGCAGTCCAGCAGCAGGCACTTGGCGCCGCTCGGCAGCCCCAGGGCGCCGCCGCCGCTCTCGTCCCGGTTCATCAGCCTCTTGAGCACGCTGCAGTCCATCTCCCGCAGCTCCTCCACCGTCACCATGGTGGCCGGGGACCGGGGCTGCTGCTGGCACGCGAGGAGGCGAAGAGCAGCCGGGACAGCTGGGCTGCAGGAAGGGGCGGGCGAGGGCTCAAGCAGGGCGCGTGCAAAAGTGGCCAGAAACTTGGCCCCCCGGGATTCACACCGGAGACCGTCTTGTCCCCGGGATCCTTCCTTCCGCGGTCCTCGCAGTCACATAACAGTCCGAGCGGTGCGAGGGGGAGGCGGCGGAGCAGGGGACCGTGTGGACGGGAGCGGGCCGAGGGCTCCCTTCTGCCGGGGCCTCTTTGTATGTTGCCCGCCGGGCTTCTCCGGGAGGAGCAGCCGGAGCTCGGCGCGCTGCCCCAGCCAGAGTTCCCTCCTCGGCTTAGCGATGTATTAATGCTCCCCGGCTCTCCCCCGGGAGCGGGCAGAGTCAGGACTACCTGGCGAGGCCCCGCCCCTTCACATCGGGGTCTCCCGCCCCCCGCCCGCCCCCCGCCCGCCCCCGGCTCGGGCTCCCCGCCCCGGCCGCGCTCCCCCGCCCCTCCCGCGCGCGTGAATGGATGGAGCGCGGGCCGCTCGCGCTCGGTCACGAGGATGCGACGTCACAAAGAGCGGAGTAAACAGGCCCGCCGGGCGCTGGTCGCCAGGCCCATTCATAAAACCCGGGCCGGGAGGAGGGAGAGGGAGGAGGGAGAGGGAGGAGGCCTCCGACCCGCCGGGCGAGCCGCGCGCCGGCACTTTGTGAATGGAGCGCGGCCGCGGCGCTGCTCGCAGTCGGCCTGCGGGCGCGGGCCACCGCCACCGCCATCCACCCAGGGCCCCGGCCTCGGGCAAGAAGAAAGGAGCCGGCTGAGAGCCCGGCCTAACGGAGGCTAGGGATCTGTTTTGATCCTTTTTATCTCCTTGTGCCCCTCCTCCCCATCCCCTCTCCCTCCTTCCCCCCATCCCCCCGCCCCGAGCCTCGCTAGCCTCCCTCCGGCTTCAAAGAAGCTTAGTGGTGCCTGTGACCTCTTCGCCCCGGATTGACGGAGTGCGTTGGGCCCGGCCAGCCGTTTTTTTTGTTGTTGTTGTTGTTTTGTGGGGTTTTTTTGTTTGTTTGTTTGTTTTTGCAAATGCGATTCCTCTGACGTTGGCTTATGCATTAGTGTGATCGATTTTCATCTTGGGCCATTAAATCAGCTTTACATAGCTTCCCGAGAACGTGGGCAAGCCCCAACGTAGAAGATGAAAGAAAAAATCTCTCCCGCCCCGAAGTCCAGTAATGGGGAGCGGGGTGTTGGGTCCGTTGCTTTAAGGTCCAGAGGGAGGCTTTCATTGATTCCTTGCCGGAATGCTGCTCCTCTGGAGGAAGGCAGGGAGCCGGTCCTGGCCACGCTTCCTAAAGATGCTTGTTTAACCTTAGTAGACTGTATATATATTATATTTATTTACTTATTTATGTGACTTTTGGAAAAGTCCTCACCCCTTATTGCACAAGTGCAAATTGTCTTCTCGGGAAATAACCATGAGGGCCCACGTCTGGTGCGAAGCTAGACCCTGGAGAATTTACCGTCAAGGGTTTCACAAGCTCTGGGGCAGACTCAGACTCCGGTCTCTGCGTTCCCTTTCCAGGTCAGGCAGCGTTTTTTCCCCCGCTGCTCCCCATCCCCCACCCCGGTTTTTACTTATGCATTTGATTTCCCAGAAGCCGCTTTGGTCAGGGGGCTTGTGTGCGTCGCGATGCGGACACAACAAAAGCCAAAAATGACTCCTCCGACATCTTGCCAGGTCTTGTTAGTGAGAACTAGCCAGCGAGCGGGAAACCTGCAGGACGCGCTGGCGACGGGGAGGCTCACACTCCGGGTCCGAGTGGAAGCCCGACCCTGGCATCCAAGGACCGAACCTTCCCAGAGCCTCCCACCCGCTGCTGGCCTTCCGCCTCCCTTTGTTCCTGGCTGAGCAGCGAGCGCTCCCGATCTCTCACCTCCGACCCCGAGGCCACCCCTCCCTTCCCCTCCTGAGCCCTTGGGGGGCCTCCACTTCCGACGCCGGGGGCCCCCGCTCCTCTCCCCCTGCGCCACGCATCTCCCGGCAGGCACCCCGGGAATCTTCCCTTTACCGGGCTGCAAACTGGCTCAGCGAGGCACTGCACTGATCCTATGATCCTATCTCTGTTTAGAATTTACTATCTTGTTCAACATACTTGTTTGGGGGTATTAAATCCTTTGGATTTTACTAATCTCATGGGGGAAAAAAAAAACATTAAGTAAACTTAAATATAATTTTTTTCTGATTATCCATCCTGTAAATAGATGAAAAATCTGTATATTTTTCTTATATCTCCTCTTTATTAAATAAAAGGTAGCCTACTCTAGTATATATATATGGCATTGCATTAAGATATGCATTTTGAGCCCTGACTCTGGTGCCCTTCACTTCTGCGCCCAGGGCGCGGTGCTCACGCCGGGCACTGTGTGCAGGGGGCGGCCAAAGGCCCCCCAGGCTTGGCCTCTCGGGGATGAAGGGGTTTGTACTTCCTCCCCAGGACAAAGAGGGGGGCACTGTAGGTTTCTCTTAAGACTGCCGTGGCTGCGAGGCTCTGTCCAAGCCCGGCTCTACCTGGCTCACCGGGAGCGCGCCTTTCTAAGGGGTCCCCGTGTCCCGACCATCCAGGGATCATCTGGCCCGGGCCGGGCCCCCTCCCCGCGCCAGAAACACCGGCGCCTTCACGCGGGCTTGGGCAGAACATCTCAGCCGCAGGCGGGTCGGGCCAAGGTCGCACCGGTCGCAGGAGCTGGGGACACATCCCGGGGCCGCCCCGGCCGCGCGCTCTTCGCCTTTGTCTCCCGGGCGCCCGGCCGGCCCGGAGCTCACGTGGCAAGGAAACAAGTCCAATCCGGGGGGGTGGGGGGCAGAAGGCTCACGGAACAAAGGCTTGCTTTCTGCACCTGACAGTCCCCCGCGGTGGCGAACCCCGTCCATCCCGCAGGAGATCCTCAGGGAAGGGGGGTGGGCGGGCGCGTGTGCGCGATGCTGTGCCCACGTGTGCGCGCCCGCGCCGGGGAGGGGCGCCTGCGCTTCCGACCGAAAGGATGAAAGCCAAGAGCCCCCGTGATAAGAACGCGAATGCCTGATTTGGGAAAGAGACTAATTTTTTATTAAAAATGCTCTCTCCTCGACTCAGGAATTTGCTGTCAGTTGTGTGCGTTTCAGTCAATGAGATTTAAATGCTGCATTTTATCCGGATCCTTTTTAAGCAACCTAGATAATTATTTTTTCATTTTTGGTTTTGATTCCTTTGGGAACACAGTTGAATGAATACAACATGAGGACTACTCTATACCTATCCCAACAAAGAGAAGATAAAACGTCTCAATTAGTATGCAGGCTGGGGGTCGAGCCCTTAATCAGTGGACACAGGAACTTGTGAAACAGCTTGTCAGTGAGATCTTGGAGAAAACAAAGGCATGGAAGACATTGTTTGAATATCGCTTCAAAGTTAATTTAATGAACGAAGACATATCTTCTGGAGTTGAAATGGGATTGCCCAAGGAGAGATATTTTATTTATATTCAGCAATACACCTCCGGGTGAAAGAAATAATTTAAAAATGTACCTTGACGTGTGAAACCAACTTCTTTTTCATCAGTCTGTCCTTAGACCACGGCATTAGTCACTGTCGGGCCTGGTAAAACCTGTGTTCTTGTTTAAGAACATTTCTTACCAATTAGGAAGTTGTGTGAACTGGGAACTCACAGCCCAGAGGACGCTCCCCAGAGAGGACCGTGGCTTCTATTCTGGTTTTAATGCCAACCTCTGACTCACTGCCCTGTCCCAAAGTGCCCGAATGGAACTGGCCTGAAAAATCATTATTGAATTAGTCAAGGTGACCAAGGAGGTAAGGAAGGTCCCGTGGGGTCCTGTGTGCACGGTGTGAACTGAGCAGGAGAGCTCCCTGTGAGCGCCATGCCAAGTTCCAGCAGTCCTCTTCCCTCCCTCCCCTACGCCAGGCCCACTCAAATGGTACCCCACAGAAAACAGGCTCAAACTCTTTTCTCTTTCTGTCCCTCCTGTGCTCACGGAGAGCAAAGCTGGTGGTTTTTTTTGTTTGTTTTGTTTTAGATAGATAGATAGATAGATAGATAGATAGATATTTTACAGAGAGGAAAGGAGAGTGAGAGAGAGCCAGAAACATTATTGAGAAACATTGATCAGCCACCTCCTGCATAACCCCAACTGGGGATGTGCCAGCAAACAAGGTACATGCCCTTGACCGGAATCAAACCTGGAACCCTTCAGTCCGCAGGCCGATGCTCTATCCACTGAGCAAAAACGGCCAGAGCTGGTGGTTTTTATTTATCTGTTTAGTCAAGCAAGTGATAATGCCCCATGCCAGTTCTTCAGCTTTTCAAAATCAAATATTAGGAACAAATGCTTCTCCAAATAGAAGATAAAAATGGACCCGGCAGTTTTGTTGTTAATCACTCTAGCTGGGAATACTTGCCTAGTTATCCAACAAAGATGTTACACTCAATGAGGGAAAGAAAGTTGTCTATGCCTTCAAAAGGTTTATAATCTAGTTGGTCTGGTCAGGGTGTGATTGTCATGGCATGTTATGGGAGGCAGGATCTAATAAATGTCCTTGGGGAAGAACAAATAAAATGTGAGGGGAATTCAGTCAGGAAAGGAATTGAACCGTTTTCTGGGATTGGGGAAATGAAGGAAAAATTCCATTGTGCATAAAATGCATCTTATCTACTTACTTGTTACCCTGGATTTTTTTTTTTTTTTAGGGCACTTTTTTTTTTTTTTTAAGCTTTTATCCCATCTCTGATATTCATTCTGTTCTTGTGCCTTATATCTTTTGCTTTCATTTGTTAGCCTCTTTCTTCCCCGGTGGTTTTGCCCACTAAAAATAGATGAACAATTGGTCTGAAGCTGCAAGGGAGCCAAGATGATGCAAAGGCTCTGTAGAAAATCTATGCCGTGGACCATGAGCGGTGGGGCTGTGAGCTGTGAGCTGACCTAGATGCAAGATGACCGAGGTGTGGGCCCGATCCTGAATAACTTTCATTGTCACGTTAAGCAGGTCAGCTGTTCTATACCTTAATTTCACCATTTGTCAAACTAGGGGGGAAAAAGTAATTATTATTTAGTGTTTGTTTGTTTTCCCCCCCAGGAGAACAAAATGTCTAAATCATTGTTCCAAAAACACAGCAATAAACATATTTTCCAAGTGTTGGAGAATGAGGTCAGAAAAGAGTTTTGGACTTGCCAACTTATTTAGAGAAAACTTCTCGCTGAGAAGTAAACAATAAGTCACAGTGTTTATGCATATTCCAAAACTGTTATTGAAAGCAATGAAACAGCCCAAAATTGAGGCTATCAAAGCAAATCTTGGGCTTTGGAGCATTATTTCTTCATTGATGAAACTGTAAAACAAATTTATAGGAAGCCCCTGTGGTGCTGCCCGCTGGCTACCGCAGCCCCAGGTCATCGTTATCCACTGCTGTCCCGTCCTGCACACAGTCCTTCCGGCCTAACACGCGTGAGGAGGGAATGTCCTGTGTCTTTCAGATGTTCCAGCTGTTCTTCACCTCCACATCTTGGCCCCAGTGAGGTCTTTTTGTGTAATGGTTGGTTAATTCTCATCATAATGGCAGGGAAGGGAAATAATCTTTCTCTCTCCTCTCAGGTGTGTACCTGGGACCTGCAAATTAAACTCACAAAGACAGGTTAACAGGAGGAAAATCAAACAATGTCAACTGATGTTAATTAACTAATTAATTATTTTTATTTTTATGTATGTATGTATGTATGTATTTATTTATTTATTTTTTACAAAGGCATAGGGACTTCACAGAAAAGAAACGAAAACCCAAAGAAGTGGGAAGGTAGGGGAGGATGGGGGTAAGGGGGAGAGATCAACCAAAGGACTTGTGTGCATGCATATAGTCTAACCAGTGGTCAGGAACAACCGGGGGGGGGGGGGGGGGGGGGGGGTGGGGAGCATAGGTGGGGAGGGGTTTGGGATGGAATGGAGGGATGAGGACAATTATGTGATATCATAATAAATAAAATAAAATAAAATAAAATAAAATAAAATAAAATAAAATAAAAAATAAAGAAAACCCAAAGAAGTAGTTAAACCAGGGGGCTTACATGCCATTTTAACAAAGGGCAATAAATTGTCAAGAAGTGACCTGACAAAAAGGGGCTTTGGGCTTCTGGAGCTGATAAACTATGGGAAGGTGGGTAGGAAATAAATGGGCGAAACTAATGGGAGATAAGGGTTATTTATTTAGTAAGCTTTTTTGTGCACTCATCTTGGTTCCATCACTGTCTCTGGTGATAAAAGTTGTTCTCTTCCTGGGAGGGCAGAAGGAGACACCTGCACGAGGGTAGTTTACGGCCTGCTTTTAGGCAGAGGGGAAGGGGGACAGAGCTCCTTTTATGTCTGCTTTTTCTAATTGCCTTTAGTTCAAAATAATCTGTATTCCAGAATGGCATATTCGGATCCTCTTTACAACCATCTCACTGCTTGACCAGGTAGGTCGAAAAAGAGGTGTCAGAATTTCAACGAGAACTTTGCTTGAATGAGGAGCAGGTCCCACTCAGCCAACAGTGGGGCTTTAGAAACTAGTCCTTTAGAAACCGGAGAGTCCTCACTTCTGATTTTTCTGGTAGACAGAAGGGAGGGGCCAAGAGCCAACAATTCCTTAATCGTCATCTCCAAAGGCCTTGGACACCGCATGAGACCGATCAATTCCCTTCCGTTGTAAGAATGGTTTCTGAAGTCAGGATCGGAATAGCCTCTCACCGCTGGATGGAATACTCAGATTGCCACGTCAGAAGGAACAGGTGAAACAAGTGGGGAGGAGCAAAGGCTCTCCACCTTCCACCGCAGGCTCCTCAGTGGGCGGCCATTTAGAGATGGTCCCCAGCATGACAGTGTCCCCTGCTCAGGTCCCCCCAGGCACATGTCTGCCTCAGTCATCCTGCACCAGGATGCTGCCCCTCTGAAGGTGTAAACTTTCATCTGTGCAATTTAATCTCCTATGAAACACCGTTTTTGTCTTTTTTAAAAATCATTTGGGTTATCTAAAATCAACATACAAAAGGAATACACCCAAAAGTACTCTATTCTTTTCCAGATAAGGATTGTAGTTTCTCTAGAGTCTCTTCCTTTTCTATTGGGATTAGCATAACAATCCACAGGATTTATTCTTGGAGGATCCTTTTTATGCAGTGGTTAATTACATCTTGCTATTTATCCCATCTATTAAGGGTTAACTAATTAGCACCCAGCCAACTCTACTTCTAATCCATTTCTCTCCCCACCCCAAACCTAATCCCCAGTGTCCTGTGTCCTTTATGCCACAGTCTTGAACCTCCCCACCAAGTGATAAGGTGATGAGGTCTGTCCTCTAAGCCACCAATGCCCCCTTTTCCGGGCCCCTTTGGATGCCACCCTGAGTCTGAGATACGGCCTCTCCACACCTGGTATTATTTGGTGCAATGAAAACGCCCATCCTCCCCTGCCTTCCCTCTGAGGTTTGACAGCCTGTACCATGATTCTGTATCTCCGGATCTATTTGTTGTTTCTTCTTATAAGGACACTAATCCCATCCGTAAGGGCTCCACTCTCCTGACCTAATCACCTTCAAAAGGCCTACTTCCTACCATCACATCGAGGTTAGGATCTCAACACACAAGTTGTGAGGGAACATACACACTCAGTCTAACAAGCTCGTTGCTTCTCTGCTGAGTTTCCCTCATTTCCCATAGCAGATTTAAATAATCTTAGACATTGCAGCAAATTCACATTATAACTCCCGTTCATATTACCTGCTTAGCAATACTGTAAGATCTGCTTTTGGCTTTTGCCAAAACTTCTACAGTCCTCAGGCCAGAGTGGAGCCCAGGAAGCTTGGAATGGAGATCTGATCATTTATTAATTATTCTGACCATGCTCAGAAGAAACACCACAGGCCCTTCCTCCATCTCTCCACCCTGAACACCCCAGCCTCTGTTCCATCTGTGAGCCTCATGTTGTTGCAAACACTAGATAGGCTTTCCCTGTACTACCACACCACCACTGCTGCCTGCTCCTCTGCCACCGTGTCCTGCTCCTCCTCTGCGGTGTTGGTGTTTGCTGTTGGTGCCCAGGGCTGCAGCTAGCTTCTTGGGAGAGACCCATCTAGAGCCTCAGCCTCTTACTAGTATGCCCTCACCCCCTCCAACTGCCCATGGCTTTCTTGCTCCATGCACCGCCCAGGAGCACCGGGTGCTTCCCAGTCCTGTCCCAAACCCGCAGAGTCCATCCTCTCCTGTTCTTTGCGGGAATTTCTGACCAAACTAACTGCCCAACTGAAACTCACAAGGGAGGTCACACTGAAAGACACTGATGTGTCTAGATGACTATTCAAAGCAGAACCCGAGCGGAAGGGTACACTTCCTGGCCCGAGGCATAAACACCGCATATATTTTTCCCTTTCTGAGGGCTGTTTTTCACGCTTGAGATGAAGTGTGGTCAGAACGTATTCTCGTCTAGAATTTTAGGTCAGTCAGGCAGAGGTTTGTCCTTCTCGTGTTTTATACACATGTGAATAAAAAAGAGTAAACAAAGCCTGCTGTTCAATGTGTTGCAGGTATGTCCGAGGTGCCATTCTAGACCAGACTGCTCTGGGGGTTTTTGTGGTTGGTTTAAGGGTTATGAAAAACACAGAAGAAATGGTTTCTAAAAAAAGATTAGGATTTCCACTAGGACATTATCAAGTTAGAAGAAAAATAAACCACAGAATGCTAAAAATGTAGTGTTGTGTTTTTTTTCGGTCGTACTTCTGAGGGCTCCTGTATTTATGCTTTCTTTCCAATGGACAGAAGAATTGAGAAATATGTTGGGGTCGGGTTAGACCTCCCCTGTGGGACAGCTCTGGTAAAGACCCTTTCCCTGTATGAGATTCCCCAAGGCCTTGCACTGCAGAGATGTGTGGTGTGTGTGCGCCACTTACATAAACGTGTGTGTACATATACATGCACACACATACATCTGTGAATAACATTTACATTTTCTTCTTGAAACATCTATTTCCACCCTCCCCCTCTATACGTGGGCTCATTTTTATAAGCCACTTTATTCCTCTCCCAGCCCCTGCAATTCCAAGGGGCTTTCTCACCCTCCCCCACACCCCTTTGTTTGAATGTTAACTCATCTTCCCTTGTGACAGGATGTATTCAAATTTAATGTTCAAAAAAAATTCTCTGAATTTTTTGAACATTAAATTTGAAAACTCCAGTCTGGGTTTTCTTGCCGTCAATGCATCATCAGTTACTTATCAGTTTGGAAGGATGGCAGCAGTGATGACTGACAGGTGGGAATGGGGAGGACTAGGGAGGCATCTTTCGTTCTCCTGTGATCATTACAGAAGAAAACCAGTTGCTCAAATTAGGCCACAGGGGAAGTGCCTGTCCCCCGACCCAGCCAGTGCCTGAAGGTCAACTCTGCCTGCAGTCAGGGAGGTCAGCATCTGTCCACCTGACACCCTCCTGCGGCTCCTGCTTTGAGGGGAGGCGGAGTGATCATAACGAAAAGATAGTTGACAAAGACATTTGTCATGTGCTGAGTTTTGTAGCCAAAGTACACCGTTAGTGCAGGGGTTCTGTAGCCAAAGTACACCAGCAATTGCTCAGCCTCCCTGCCAGCCTCCTGGATGAGGCTCCACTCTGAAGATAACGCAGTGTGAAACTCCTGCAGAGGGTCTAAAAAACAAAGAATGCTTCAGAGAATGGGGACTGGTCTTAGTTTGCTCAGCCTGCCATGGCAAAAGATCACAGACTAGTGGGTAGGACAACAGAAATATCTTGTCCCATAGTTCTGGGGGCCAGAGGCTGAGATCAAGGGGGTGGCAAGAACGCTTTCTCCTGAGGACTCTCTCCTTGGTTTGTAGACAGTGGCCTTCTCTCTGTGTCCTCGATGCCCTTCTCTTCTGTGTCCTAATTTCCTCAGGGCACCAGGTATATTGATTAGGGCCCACCCTAAGTCCTCATTTTAACTTAGCTACTTCTTTAAAGACCATGGCTTTACATCATATTCTGAGGAACGGGGTGAGTTAGAACTTTAAGATATGAGTTTTGGTGACATTCCAGAACTTTCTCCAGAAAGAGGCCTGAACCCCTCACCACTGTTCTTCCTGACATTCTGTCCTCAGGGGCTAGTTTGGGGGAGTGGACAGGGCTTAGGTTCTGGAGTCGGCCAACGCTGGATTTGGGCCCCAGCTTGGCCATTTCTAGCAGTGCGACCAGAGGTGGGTTTCTTCATCTCTCTGAGCCATGGTTTTCTTGGCTGTGAAACAAAGAGGAAACGCACACACCTCAGGGCATGCATGAGGATTCAGTGAGATGACATGAAAGTGCCTGGCCTGGTACCTGACTCAATAC